CGATCAGGGTCATCTTCAGTTAATAGCTGTACCATTTTATTTTGTATGGATGATACCAATTCCTCTTCAAAGGTCTCCACACGAATGAACCTGCCATAATTTGATTATTTTGCTTTATCGCTCTCAAATTGTTTGAAGACAGAATCTTTAAAATCTTCTTCAGACGAATAGGTTGAGTATTGAGAACTAATTCAATAAACACGTGTTTCGTTGTACCTACAATAGCTTCTTCAGACGTATCTTTACTGACTGAAATCTTTATATTTAATGCTTCATACGTTTTTTACAATTTGAAGTACCTCAATACCAAGTACCTGAGTTTTACCTTGCCAATTGAAGTTAATTGTGTAACAGAGACATGGAATGACCTGAGCTACCAGTTTTCACAATTGAAAAAATATTTAGGAATGGGGAGTTATTTAATTCTATTGGGTCATTCAGTAAATTACGCGAATTCTTGAATGTATTCATTTCTAAACATTCTAAGAAATTGAGTTTCAAACTTCTTTCTTCTAAATATAACACGTTATAGTCATGATTGAACTCATGTCCTTCTGCCAAATGAAGGTTTGCGAATGTGGAATTGGTCTTTCCATTCAAGAAAACAATTATATGCTCTTTAATTCTTTGTGAAAAAAATCTCCCAGTTTGGCCAATATAAAGTTTTGGGCAAGAACCACAAGTCAACTCATATACTCCTGATCTATCCGATACTTAAGTTTTGTCTTTATTGTTTTTGATAAATTTAGTCACTCTATTATTCGTTCTTGTAAGTCACGTACAAGCCCTTTTTTTTTAAAAAACGAGCGATTTTATTGGTGGGTTCACTGAAAAATGAAAATGTCCTGAAGCGGACGCAGTAGTTTCTTGCATTAGGGTAGACCTGATCCATGACTTGTTTTTGTAGTTTTTTTAAAAGAATGGGGTCGATAATACTTGTAATAGGGGAGCCCAAGAGGGGATTACGGGATTTACTAAAGCGCAACAGATTAATATACAGGGGGATACCTTGTACCGGGTTAAGTACCTCCACCAAATATGAGCCCTATATATAAGGCCGCTTTGAGGGATAAAAGATCAGATTAGTAAAAAAAAATGGATCATCAGAAATTTTCGAGCGCGTCAGATTAAGGTAGGGTGAGTTAATTACATGCTAAAAAGTGTATATTCCAGTAATCTGACAATTTGAGAGTGACGTGAAGAAAGGGGAGGGCAGCAAAGTTGTAAAAAAATAACATTATTTCGACATTCTCGAGCGTAGCCAATTTTTTTTATTTCGAAGGAAATAATTCGAGGATAACTTGAATCAATTTCACAATATTGCCTCAACTTAAATTAATTTTACATTGTGTCCTTATGTAATTGTCAGGTAAATCTGATAATTAAAATATTATTTTAACAATCTATATAGTATACTATTGGGTATTGGTCCACCATCGTTATTCATAATAATATTATGTTAACTCATTTCTAAGCTCTCATGGGCATCTAGATGCCTGTAGTTGTTGACTTGTCTAACTAATTTTAATGATCTAAAGTCTATGGAATGATTTTGTTGCAAAATATTTTAGGTGTGCTAAGTGTTCCTTATATCTATTTTAATAGATCTTATTGTCTCTCCATAATATTTTGTATCGCAGTCCTTACATTTAATTTTGTAAATTCCAGACTTTTCCGAATTCTCGATTTTGTCTTTTGGAAAATCCATATTACCAGCGTAATGAATGAATTGAGAGGATTGCTAAGCAAATTCAGATATCTGGTCGATTATTTGAACATTGTATTTTTCACTGGTCAAGTCTCAGCTATCCTACAGCATCCTGGAATGGGATGGAGTGGTTAGAATACAACTTGAGTAGTTTGAGTGTCATACAAAGATGGATATTAAGAATAATATTTAAAAAAACATATGAGGTAGGTATTCCTCAGATCTAGGTACTTTATTCCAAAAACCATATATTTGATATAAGCCAAATTTCCTGCCAAAGAATATTAACAACATTCATAAATAAAAACGAAATTACTCTTCAATCCATTGAGCATACATATAATACAGAAACTAAGATGCATTATAAAAATGTTCTGTGCCGTGAAAAGGGTATTGGGCAACGTTCCGTAGAATTCTTGTCTTCAAAAATATTCAATTTGCTACCAGATGAAATAAAAATTATTGAAAATGTTTTTTCTTTCAAGCTTCATGTAAAAAAATGCATCGATAGAACTGGTAGAACAATATTCAGTAATGTCATCAACCTGATTTTTTTAAATAGAATATGATTGTTTCTGCTGAATCGTCCCGATATTGATACACTCATCCAATATAAACTTATACACACGGAATCGGTACATTTATCCTAATATGATGCATTTACTTTGTTATGACCTTTTACTCGATATGGATTTCCCACCTAAATTATGTTACAAATTTACCTCTGTATTTATATATTTTTTTATATTTTCATGNATTTGGAATGCAAACTCCTATAGAGATGCATCATTTTTCGGGTCCTTACGTCGAGTTGATACAGCTCCTCCCGAGTCCACTTCACTACTCCAAACGAGTAGAGTAAGATTGGAAAGGCAAGCATATTTGTTGCAGCAACTTTGTTCTTTATTCCTAGAACCTGAATTTCGTAGAACCAGAACAAACCTAAAGTATTCATGCATTGATTTCATCATTCCAAATTTTAATGTTTTGAGTTGACTCGTTCAAAAAATAAAAGGGGGGGAGACATTAGAGAAATGTGAAACATTTCTAAAATCAAAAGAGCTGACAGAGTTAAAACACCTAGTTCCTTGAATGTTTTTGTGTATAAAATACCTATCTTCATTCCTACGATTATTCGAATCCACTTCTTCTAAGGAAACCATTAGAAAACAATGTGGAATAACTCCAAAGACATCTGAGACTAGAATTTGCTGAGCTAAGACTGAGTAGGAGCAAATAATTTTTCTGTAAAATATTCCTGAACATGCATGCAACATAATTTATTTCATTTATTAAGATCTGACAATAAATCTTCCAATAGCTATTCCGAAGAATTTCGTAGAGTCTAGGATATGGAGTAAAGAAGTTGCTGGAGTTGGATTCATCTTTGAATTTGGGGCTCGTATTGTCGAAGGGCTGATTAAAGTTCGCCTATTTTGTTTGATTTATTTTTGCTATGGCTGAGTTTGGTAGAACTGTGTTTGGGAGAATTGAAAAGAAAACTGAATTGGACAGGATGATGGGTAGCGGTTGGTATAGGTATGGTATGGGAAGAAAGTGTTGGAATTTGTGATGAGGAGGTCTGGAAATGAAGGGAAGTTGCAATTTTCGATTTTCATCATAACTTACAGGTTGGGAATGGTTGTGTAGAAAGTGGTTGTATTTCAGTAAAATATGGAGACTGTAACAAGGGACCATATCAAAAACTATCAACTAAGTATCGTAACCAACAGGAGGGTTTGGGATTAGATACATTGATGGCTCTGGTTTCAAAGTTACAAAGACTTAAGCGAGTATGGAACTCATAGGAGCGCTTTTCGTTTGTTTGGTAAATTTCACAAAAAAGTGTACTAATTTTACTGACTTGATTTAATCAACACCTACATTCCACCCACTATTTTCTGAACAACTGGAATATGGAACAACTTTTTCTCATTTCAATATCAGCGGCTCATTCAATATCTTCTTGTGGTGAAATAATTCAAACCAGTTTTTCATTTGCAGGTATATTTCATGACGATACATGCAGGAAGAAGTTTAAAGATCTGAATCACGCGGTATTAGTCGTTGGTTATGGTTCAGAAAATGGTACAGATTACTGGTTGGTCAAGAACTCTTTTGGCGATGGCTGGGGAATGGACGGATACATCAAGATGTCCAGGAATAGGGATAATCAATGTGGAATTGCAACAGCTGCTGTTTATCCAATCTTTAAATGATGAATGTTACATTTCAATATTTTGTTATGATTTTCTCATAATAAATAATTATATTGACTCGAAGCAATAAAAAATGTATATCCAATATGAATAATTTCTTGGAGTTACAGTCAATTGGTTATTGAAAAGTCTTAACCCATGTTATCATAAAAAGTACTCACTAACGTGAGGTTATATATAATTATTGAAATCTCTTTATTTTTTTACGTATTTAAAAATCTATAGCCGCTTCTCCCACCGATGGAAAGGTATATATTATATAACATTTTTTTCTTCTCATCATCTAAGCTTTACAACCTAATGTCTCAATGACGCTCGAGTAAATCCCCATTTTGCATCGTGGGCTCCCCTGCTATTGAGGAAATTACATTTCGACAGTGGAATATTCAATTGTCTGTGAAGCATACTATTAAATGCACCTACTTCATGATGGTGAGCGTGTATGGAAGAATTATGTACGACAATGTTTATGTAAGATGGTTTGTGGAAAATTGCAGAATCATGTTAATTATCAATTTCCGTGATAGTCAAGCCAAGGTGATTTATTGAATTATTCAGGGTTGAGCTCTAATCTCCACGTTGGAACCAACTAGTAACCTGTAGCAAACATAGTAAACTATTGAATACAACTTGATCGGACTGCCCTCTCTCACCGAACCTTATCACTACAGAAATTGTTCTCATCTCATCTACATGGAAGCTAACTCAACCCCAATCAAAATTAAATTTTTGTATATAATTTCTGAGCACATCTCATATCATATAGAGATACCAATCGACAGGAGTACAGATTTTTTCCATCTCCAAACTCATATCTTGGTGGACGTATATAAGTAGATACGAAATTTTTTTCACTCTAGCTGAATGTGTACATTGCTGAATGAAATTCACGTCTGAGGTGAGACTATTATATCAAAGTTATATATTATGAAGTGACATATTCGGAGATTTGAATGCTATTATTGTTTGTGTGTTAGAGTTTTTGAGATTATTTGAACCGTTTCAATGGTATTCGAAACCTTATGGCCATATCATATGAAATTATACCTGTAGTGGTTTCTTATCACCTTGAATATCTGTATTTGTGAAACTGATACATTATCACCTCATTCATATGTAGGTACCTACAATTTTACATAACGTAACAAAATATATGCATATGGTATAAAATAAATCCAAAAAAAACACTGCTTTCACACACCAGATATGGAAATTCTTTTCTCGTGAAACACGTGTCGGAAAAAGCGTTGCAGTTCTGGTGTGTCAGATTGGTGTTCGTTTATGAGTTACGAAATGTTGTGAAGGGCTTCACCATCTGGAACGGATTCCTAGATTGAATCAACGAAACCTTCTCATTGGTAGGTAGATCCAGATTGAAGATTCTTTTCGAAGCTCCCCTACAACCCGCGAGAATTCATTGTGGCTGCAGGGCCACCTTTGGTACTTTTTTCTGGCCATCAATACTGGACTGGAAGACTTCATCATCTAATTTGTTTTAAATCTGTTTTTCCATTAACCAGCTGTCGCACCCCTACGAACGACAACCCTCAGAAGTCGAAACTTGTGCGAGCTAAAGATTAACGAGGTCTTACCTTCTAACGTGTGATTCCTTACACATTTATGATCTATTACTTTGAAAATACCAATTGTTTTACTACTTTATCAGCTGTGAATTGTCTGGAAGATGTAAATCGTCTCTGGTAATGAACTCGAAAGTCACCTTTTCTCACCCAGTGAAACTGAGCAAGAGATGTGTTTTTTTACTCATCTTACTTTATTTTGAATTCCATTACTGGGATACTTCTTGTCGAATATTATTAATTGCCCTCCGTAGTATTAGCCAACCAAGTGATTGTTTTCTAATAGGTGTCGGTCCATGCACATATTTTGTAGGAAAATGAAGACTGGCCTGAACGAATTGATCATTCAAATGAAATGATTCAAAGCCAGTCTTCAAGTACGTCTACTCACTACAGTTGAAATTTATTTTCTTATACGAGGATTTGGGCCATTCGTATATGCGGTTGGTTAGTAGCTTTGTTCGTGAACACGTAACAAATACCATTTTACCAGTATAGTAAGAAGTAGGTCGAGCAGGGTCAACCGACGTCCGAACACGTAACAGCACACCTAGATAATGATAAATGAGATTTAGTCGAAACGTTGGTGAAATTAAAGATAATATCACATACACGGATCAAATACCCGAAAAACCAGTTCAGCATAGTCCTATCCTATTCTACCATATCAGCTTCATATTTTGTATGATTTCAGATGAAGTATTTGGTCTCTATTCTCATTTTTTCCGCTGCAACTCAGGCTTTCAGCAGCAAAGATAGATGGGAAAACTTCAAAGTGAGTATTTCTGATGATTTATCTTTGCATTTTCTTTCTCATGGCATTATTTCATGTAATAACGTATATCGTTGTATGAATATACCTAACGTAATAATTCATTTGGTTGGTTTACCGAAAGATATATACAAACAATCTGTATCTGTATCTGTAGAGTAGTAAAGAGTGAGTGTAGGTCTACAGCACTTAGGAGACATGTGACCCATTGTACATTCTCTCGAAGAGTTGTCCTCCTAGGTCATCGTCCATCCTGTCCTTTCCAGGAAGGTAGACAGGTCACTAGGAGACATCTCCTTTATATCGGCAGGTGTAGGCCAAGACTCGCCGAACACACACTCTCTTATTGACGATAACTCCGGAAACTAGCATAGGACATGCCTGACAGTTTCATCTTCCTCTTCACACATCCTGCATAGAGGTGTATCCACTAGCCAGGGTGATCCTAACAAGATTGCATCCTTTGATTTCATCCCATCTCTTTAGAGATTGAGCATGGGTGTAACAGTTAGTTAGTTCCGCAATTGTCGAAGTTATCAGGCCGTAGGTGCCACTGGGTCCTAAAATTCTTAGTCCAGCCGCTTTCTTGGCTGAATAGTCGGCAAAGCGATCACCTTTACTCCTGTCGTGTCCTTTAATCCACCTCAGATACACATACAATATTGGACAATATGGATAAAACCTAAGTGAATCATCGACGAGGAATGGTGAGAATGAAAAAAACCCCTATCGAAAAGAAAATGAAAGTGGATTTCTTCCATGACATTATAGTCGATATTTACAAAAATAACATTGATTCAAAATGAAGGGCATAAGTAAAAGGTTCTACTAGGATTTGTGTTTGAAATGTCCACGTCTTCCTTACAAGGAAATCCTTCGGATGAATACTGAACAAAAAGGTGAACACGAAGATGTGCTGGAACTGAAGATGTGCCTACTAAAATGTCACTGAAGTACCTAGTCACTATTGTAATCATAATATTTGATTCCATTGTTTCAATTAAATCAGGACAGTGATTGAGATTATGAGAATGATGCATAATCAAGAACTGAGAGTTTCATCTCTGTTGGATTTTTCGTTGATCGCAAGAGATGTTTTATCGCAGTCTGTTTTGGTGGCCCAGCTTTCATTTTATTGGTTTGAAAATGTACACTTCGATGTGACAGTACTTAATTTTTCACATTATTGTGCATAATTCATATCTTATGACTATAGAGATAACTCTCTCTAAAGTTCTGTATTTGGGAATGAACAAATTATGGCCTATAAGAAAGGGGTCAATTCAATGTATCACAGACATATATGGCATATGAAGTAGCAACAAAAAATTTTCAAGTTGGAATGTAATCGAAGCCGTGTTGTTGAATATTACATCGTTTTATGGAAATTCACAGAAACAACAAGTACATTTTTTAGGTTGAAATGAATTTTTTTCTTATATTACTTTTCTTTTATAAAAGTAACTCCAAATAAACTTAATTGCTGTTTAAGAGATAATGCCGTGTTTTATAAAAAATATTTCTTTAATAATCGCCATATTTGATACGATTTCTAGTCATGAGCTTCAGGAAATTTAAAAATTTTGGCGACTATTGGCAGAATGATATATACTCAACAATGTGCGGATAAGAATGAGTAAAGATTATTTTCCAAAACCATGCCGTTATTTTAACACCTCGACACGTGTTTCGATCACCAAGTGATCATATTCGGTTGAATCTTCCTCTTGAAGATGATTAATTGGTTATCTAAACACGTGTCGAAGTGTTAAAAGAACGGGTTGGTGTTGGGATAAAACTCCAGTAATATTAATTACTACACTGAAGGTTCCAAACAGTCCATCACAATTATTTCTGATGTTCATTTCCATTTCAGATTAGACATTCCAAATCCTATGAAAATACTGAAGAGGAAAACAAGCGATTCAATATATTCCTGGATAATTTACGCGAAATCGAAGACCATAATGAAAAATACAGAAAGGGAGAATCTTCTTATCAAATGGGGGTCAACCAATTTTCTGATCTGACTACCGAAGAATTCAGAAGAACTTACTTAATGACTTCTTTACCCTCTCCTCCTATAGACATGAACCCAAAACAAGCAAAATTTAATGTCCATGAAGATTTGCCTGAAGAAGTGAATTGGACAGAAGCTGGTGCAGTTACCCATGTTAATTTAATTACTACACTGAAGGTTCCAAACAGTCCATCACAATTATTTCTGATGTTCATTTCCATTTCAGATTAGACATTCCAAATCCTATGAAAATAGTAAAGAGGAAAACAAGCGATTCAATATATTTCTGGATAATTTACGCGAAATCGAAGACCATAATGAAAAATACAGAAAGGGAGAATCTTCTTACCAAATGGGGGTCAACCAATTTTCTGATCTGACTACCGAAGAATTCAGAAGAACTTACTTGATGACTTCTTTACCCTCTCCTCCTATAGACATGAACCCAAAACAAGCAAAATATAATGTCCATGAAGATTTGCCCGAAAAAGTAAATTGGACAGAAGCTGGTGCAGTTACCCATGTTAAAGATCAAGGGCAGTGTGGATCCTGCTGGGCTTTCAGTATTGTAAGTTTTTGCATTCTCTTGTAGAGTATGCATTCCATAGGTTTCTTTTTATTTTTTCCAAACTTGTATCCAATGCCTTGCTGAAAATAAACTGATATTCAGAAGAATCAGAAATCCCTGTTGGTATAATTGGGTATACACGGTGTCTTCAACAAAAATAAAACGAAACCAAATCAGATCTTTAGGTCATTAGGTAGGTAGGTAGGTCTTTAGGTTTGGAAGGAGAATACTCTTGTCCAGTATGAATAACGTCATCGATGGAATCTTCACATGGAAATATTTCATTGACATTGCCCAAATGAAAATTTGAATGCTGTAGGAATTCATCCACTATTTATAACTCACATTCACCCACTATTCATTGAGTATTCTCACTATTCATCAAGTATTGCCTTACTATGTATCTAGTATCTATGACTCACATGAAAATATTCCATTGATATTGCTCAAGTAACGATTTGAATGCCATTTACTATTTAAAACTCACATTGACTCACTATTTATTCAGTATTTCCACTATCAATCAAGTATCTATGACTCACATGAAAATATTTCATTGACAATGCCGAAGTATCTCACTATTCATCGAGTATATACTCACTATGTATCCAGTATCAATGACTCATTTGAAAATATTTCATTGACATTGGCCCAGTAACGATTTGACAGATAAAGGAATTTATTCACTACTCATAACTCACATTCACCCACTATTTATCCAGTATTCTCACTATTCATCAAGTATATACTCACTATGTATCCAGTAACCATGACTCACATGAAAATATTTCATTGACAATGCCCAAGTAACAATTTGACTGCTACAGGAATTCATTCACTACACATAACTCATACTTAATCACTATTCATCCAATATTCTCACTATTCATCAAGTATATACTCACTATGTATCCAGTATCTATGACTAATATGAGAATATTTTATACTCACATTTACTCACTATTTATCTAGTATTCTGACTACTCATCAAGTATATACTCACTATGTATCCAGTATCCATGACTCACATGAAAATATTTCATTGACAATACCCAAGTAACAATTTGACTACTATTGAAATTCATTCACTACACATAACTCACATTTACTCACTATTTATTCGAAATTCTCACTATTCATCAAGTGAATATTTACATTTACTCACCTAGTATTCTTACTATTCATCAAGTATATACTCACTATGTATCCAGTGTCTATGACTTATATGAAAATATTTTATTGAAATTGCCCAAGTAACGATTTGACTACCGCAGAAGTAGATGAAACGTCGGACATGAAAACTTGCAAAACACGGCTGAAAAACCAGTAAAACAGCTCTGACATAAAAATTCTACATTAGCATCAGCCAATTCCAATCTTACGTACAATTTTTTTAGACTGCTGCAGTAGAAAGCCAATACTTTATAAAAACTGGAAAACTTATTTCGCTTAGCGAGCAACAACTAGTCGACTGTCTCCCATGGTTTGGTTGCAATGGGGGCCAAACATTCGAAGGTATGGATTATATCAGGGCTAATGGACTCATGGAACAAACTGTTTATCCATACGAAACGAAAGTTGGTGCTTGCAGATACAATCAGTCGAATGTTGTCACCAGAATAAACCATTACGATTGGACAAATCGCGATGATGAGTATGATTTGAAGAGAATCGTAGCACTGAAGGGACCTGTTTCTGTTAGAATAGCTGTGAGGGGCCCTTTTCATGGATACTCGTCAGGTGAGAACAAAAGTTGATTCATGATTGAATACTATCTGAGGTTTTAATGAATTTTCAGTAGCAATAGCAAGAAGTGAAGCCTATAGGCTACTTCAGAATGTAGTACGAATCAAATTGTTGCTGTTAGTAGTTTAGTTTCAAATCATCATATTTTTGAGCCATTGAATCGTGCTTATTGGCCCACTTGAGTTCAATATTCGATAATTTGTCAGTTACTTCAGGATTATAGTCCGAAAGTCTGATGTTAATATTTCTCTTCTTCTCCAGCTTCAATCCATTTGTGGAGAATAGAGGCATAAAACCATGTGAAACGAAAAAAAAAAAAAGAACAAACTGATTAGATATATTCAAACATAGAAGTACCTACTTTATATACTCAGACCTGTGATAATAATAATTTATATATCATGATTTATATATCAGAAGTAACCGGCTGAACACTTATTTGAAAATCATCACGGCACTGCTTTAGGTCGAGTGTGAGCAAACGCGGCACCCATTTTGCACATAGCTTTCTCATATTCAAATTTTCCTACTAAATCTGCTAGCTCGCGCTCTTCCAGTCGAAGAACATTCAGTACCGCTTTAAGGATTTTCTTCACCGTTTGTGGAGTCATCACCTCATTTGGTCGATCACTGCGAAGCTCGACTTTTTTTTTAACGTCGACCAATTTTCTCCATTTTCACAAATTCACCGAAACAACGCAGCGTCTTCAAACTTAAAACATACATTCTATAGATTGTGTATCTTCTAATACAGTGATATTTGTTAAACAAACACCGCCATCTCTAGGTCAGGCCGGGTACCTCTTGGACCACTCTGGTATATTCTTTATTTACGGGAATCTATATTTTCAGATGCACACAACTCAAAGTGGGATTTGTAAATGTTACATCCTGTTATTGGGCTTGTTCTCTTGATTTACCTTATTTGAAAATAAAAAAAAACGATACGTGTTGGATATAAATCATTCGAAAAAAACTTTTTCAGGTATCTACGATGATCCACTGTGTCCTGTTCACTACTATGAAACGAACCACGCAGTCCTTGTTACTGGATATGGTACAGAGAACGGCAAAGACTACTGGATTGTCAAGAACTCCTGGGGAGATTGGTGGGGAGATAAAGGTTACATCAAGATGTCAAGAAATGCCAATGATCAATGTGGAATTGCCTCCAGTGCCATAATACCAGTATTGTAATATTTTTTCAATCTATGAGAGCTGTATAGCAAATAAAGCAAGAATATTCAGTGATTCACTGTGATTATTGAACTATCAATGGATACATCGAGGTATTCAAACAATGTCAATGTCATTGACTGATCTGTAAGCGACCTTAATTTTTGAATCACATCTGTATCTGTAGAGTAGGGAAGGTGATTGTAGGCCCACAGCACTTAGGCCACATGTGACCCATTGTACATCCTCTCGAGGAGTTGTCCACCTAGGTCATCGTCCATCCTGTCCTTCCCAGTAAGGTGGACAGGTCTCTGGGAGACATCTCCTTTATATCGGCAGGTGTAGGCCAAGACTCGCCAAACACACTCTCTTATTGACGATAACTGCGGACACTCGCATAGGACATGCCTGACAGTTTCATCTTCCTGTTCAGACATCCTGCATAGAGGTGTGTCCACTAGCCCCATATTATGGAAGTGTTTCCTTAGTTTACAGTGGCCAGTCAGAAATCCTACTGTTAAGCGTAGATTTTTCCTGGTCATCGCCAGATATTTCTTCGGTCTCAAGGTCGCCTAGGGTGATCCTGGCAAGATTACATCCTTTGATTTGATCCCATCTCTTTAGAGATTGAGCATGGAGGTGACGTTTGGCTAGTTTCGTAATTGTCGAAGTCATCAGGTGCCAGTGGGTCCTGAAATTCTTAGTCCAGCCGCTTCCTTGGTTAATCCTCAGGATAATGTTATTATTTACCGAGGTTTTGGCTTAATCTTGGTGGCACTCTAGTACTAGCCCTGAGGTTACACGTTTTCTGTTCGAAGCCAATAGGGTTTGTCAGCTGTCAGTGCAGATTGTTATGTTTTTGCAAGAAATTCCTTTCCTGGACTACATATGCTCATGCACATGTGGTCCAGGGGGCAGTTGCCCCCCCCCCCCATAGAGATCAAATGTAGCTAGCCGCAAAGCGACCAAAGTGCGAGCAATTGATTAATAAATTCCGCATCAAATGACAAATCGTAAATAAATTCACAAGGTTTAATGTATATTGTAGAGAGTATTGAAATATTCAGAATAACATTAAGAATTTGACATCAGTTTTCAAAATCGCCACCATTATCATCACGACTATATCAGATTCGCCATTAAATAGTGTAAAAATATGTAGGTCAGAGTATGATCTGTGTGTGTTGTGTGCATTGCATTTCTTTCTACGACAGCCGTTCACCAGCATTTACGTTAGTTTTCTATAATTTGTATGCGGCATACCAAAAGTAGAAGCTATTGTTACGAACATACAATTTCAATTAGTTTTGTGGACAATGCCATCTGTAGGTGTAAGTGTTCATAAGAAACACCTACAGCCTACAGTTGAATAAATCGACTACAATCCTTGTAAAACCTAGTATTGCTACTTGACGCTAGATGGCGTTTGTTCAATGAACTCTCTGGAATTTGGTAGCAGTTTCTAGACCGGGTAGAATGTTACCGTAGATTCTAGTATGATGTTCGTTTGGGTATATAAAGACGTGAGCCGCTGTGAGCGAGCCACTTTTTAATTGGAAGCGATCAACGAAACAAGCTCAACAAGCGAATTGGAAAGCGATTATTAGACTACCGGTTTGCCTGTGTTAGTCAATATTGATTTACATTTATTAAATAATATAAGATCTCATCATCTCAGTGTTGAGTTGTGAAGTTTCTGAGTGTGTCTCCATTCATCATCTTATCAAACTAGACATCGTAACATAGTAAGTTATGTACTGCTTCAATCTTGGACTTAAAGCTAGTATTTTTATTTTATTCCTCTTAGCTAATAGCTTTAGTAAAGGATATACTAGCTAGAGACATATAATCATCGTTGAGAATATCATTTTCAATTTTATTTGGCATATTTTTGATGTGGAAAGAAAGGATCGATTATGTGGAAGGAAAATGTTAGGAAAAACTATTATTTTATTGAAAACGAGTTTATTGATTCAATCTCTATGAATTCAACGTTGACTCAACAGTGGTTTCGTTTTCAGTAATTATGAAAACAAAACATTTTTTTTTTCAAGAAACTGTTCCACTGAGAGCTTCAATAACAGCTACAATAGCAAAGATACAGATGATCAATTTCATCTGAAATGATACATTTTATTACCCAAGATGCACATTCAAATGATCATAACTATAAGATGCAACACCATCTGCTGCATAATTACTCTTACTCTATGGCGAACTCTATGTTGAGATTCAATTTGACAGAGAAACTGGCTGATGGAAAAGGAATCCAAGCATTATGGTGATCTCAGTTGGCCAGTTCTCTATGGAGTAGGGGGAGACATATCTCAAGATACATCCATCGTGTATGTACATCCCAGTGGTTGTTTGGATATTTCAATGTTGACCAACGAAATCACCACTGATTTTGGAATTATTCTTCCTCAGAAATTGTGACCACGATTGTTGCGCTTTTTGTTCAGTTCTTCGTTAATTTATGTTTGAATTAGTTTGAGCTTCTCAATGATTTGATCAACATGCTCGTGTAATTATCAAAAAAATATCAAAGTGATTCTTGAGCGTCTTATTGGATATAACTCACGGATTCAGGAACAAATGCCTGCCGATTCTGAGACATTTTGAACGATATCCTCCTCAACTTGGTGACAAGAAGGGTCCCGCGCTCTATGTGCAACTTGATTCATCAAATCCTTGGGTATTGACTTACGCTTCACAACAGAAATATTTGCACCTAGTTAGAGACCTACAGAAACTCTGAAAGAGGAAGATACCTGCAGCCAAGCTTCTGAATGTTTTGACAACACTGCCTTCATACCTGCCTCTTCTATAGGAGTTTGAGCCGCATCTAACAAATTATTAAATGCAGTTGTTTTCAGAGAAATGTCCCAAGATTGTTGATGATTCCTCCGAAAACTTGTATTCATAGGTCATTTCGTGAGATCCATAGGGGTTGAGGTGTTGACCAGTGGAGAAGAGAATCGTAAAATTGACAAGTTAGACGCGCTATAACTTGAACCGAGGTAGGCAAGTATCTGTAGAGTAGCTGTAGAGTAGGGAGGGTGAGTTAGACCCACAGCACTTAGGCCACCTATGACCCATTGTACATCCTCTCGAGGAGTTGTCCACCTAGATCATCGTCCATCCTGTCTTTGCTCCTTTGCCTCCTTTGATAACATCCCGTCTCTTTAGGGATTGAGCATGGGTGTAACATATGACTAGTTCCGCAATTGTCGAAGTCATCAGGCAGGTAGGCAGGTATTGGAAGATGGATGGTTATGCGAGTGCTTGAAAAGGGACCCAGAAACCGAAAAAAGTGCGATAGAGCTATAAGTGTTTTCATGGAATATATTTGTTGGATCTTGAGCAGATCAAATGGAAGATCAGGTAATATTATTTCGCAACGATTACAATATTATTTTTTCCCGAGGAAGCTACAGCATAAGCGAAATGCGTATATAAATAGAAAATGTTTGTGGAAATGTTTCAATTATCAATATAAATTGTAACGTTATGTAAAAATTGTAACTACATATAAATGAGGTAGGTACATTGCAATTCAATTCAGTTAATTGTCCCAAGAAACAATAAATGCTTATAATTAGGGACTATAACAACTACAAAGTATGATAAAATAATAGAAATACGATATTTATTTGAAGATAAGATGTCGTTAAAGGAAAAATTTCACAGCTTTGCACGATATGATTCTGAATATAATTCAAAACACTCAAAAAATTACTGTACCGCGTCAAAAAGAATGTCACTTCAAGTTTTGTATTACTTGAAAATATATGAATCTTCAAATCAATCTCACCTTGAATGTGAAAGGAATTTTCAGATTACGAGAGAACATGATAAGAGAATTGAGTATTCATGTTCATCGGTACTTCTGTACCAGATGGAGGGTGCTTATATATTTTAGTGAAGAACACACGAACAAAATTTCACCGAATTCGATGTCGACAAAATCAAATTCGACGACGGCATAATTCAAATAAATTAGATTTTGAAAATTTTTGTTAGTTTCAATGCGAAGATGAGTTTAGGTGAAAGAAGGCAAACCAATGAAATTTTCCTTGACCTCTGTTACTTAAAATGCTATACTTGTTTCTCTCTATTGGTTAGTTTCCATATCAAAATATATGTCCTTCACATTTTACCTGGTCGGAAAAAAAATTGCATCAGCAAGAGATGGCGAAACAAAATTTGTTATTAGGAGGAACCTATGAAATCTAGAAATCTATGCATTCTGCTTAAATATATGAACTTATATAGGATGCCTTCCTGTTGCTGATGTTTTTCAAAGGTTAGGATTAGGATGTAGAAAGCAAGATCCACAGGAAACTTGATTTATGACTTCTGTAACTGCTCCTCCTTTGGTCCAATCCACTTCAGTGGATGAACAACACCGGTCCGAGCGCAAATCCCATCTATTTTCTCATGGAGCTAAACTTTTCGCAATTTTAGGTCAAAGTGGAGTGGGGGAAACGTTCAACGTCATCGATGCAGTATGGAATGAGTATCGGAGAGATTCAAAGAGCTTGGGCCGCCCTCTTGCCCTCAGCCCCCTTGGTACTCCGCATTACCGATTGGCCCCCCTTGGGACACCGCCTCACCGCTCAGTCCTTCACCCTGAGCCTACTTCTCGCGCACCAGTGACTGGGCCCCTAACGAAAGTATTGCTGGATCTGTACCACCCCCGACGATTGGTTTTTTGATTTCACCTCTGACATATTTATTTATTTTCATTTTTTAACACTGAACCAAAAAATGAAGGTGGCAGATCCCCTAATAAAACTATTGGTGGATTTGTACCGCCTCCGACGGCCAGTTTTTTGATTTCGTCACTGCAATATTTCTTCGTTTCCAAAATATAAAGTGGCAGGGTGTCTGATTGAAATGCTGACAGAGGTATATTGCCCCCTGCTCGGATTTTTCATTTAGTTTTCACTATTTTCTATAATTTCCGTCATTTCAAATATTCATGATGTCTTCAAAATACATTTTTTACTGTTTCGTGAAAGAGAATGATAAATACGAAATATTGCTGAACTTTATTGCCAAAGGCGCGAAGCTTGTAGTATATGCTGAAATATTAAAAGGAAAAGGTGATCAAGATTCTACATCTTGATCACTGTCATTTATTTCATCCAGATTTATCGAAGGTTTCTGTTGCTCTTTAGAAACTTAAACTTTTTTGGATAAACCCACCGTTAGTGAGTACTTTTTCATGATAATATGGGTTGAGACTTTTCTGTAACCAATTGATGCAACCCCAAGAAAGTATTCATATTGGATATACATTTTTATTGCTTCAAGTGGATAGCGCGATTCATTATGAGAAAGTCATAACAAAATATTAAAATGTAATATTCATCATTTCAAGATTGGATAAACAGCCGCTGTTGCAATTCCACATTGATTATCCTTATTTCTGGACATCTTAACGTACCCGTCCATTCCCCAGCTATCGCCCCAGGAGTTCTTGACCAACCAGTAGTCTGTACCATTTTCTGAACCATATCCAACAACTGATACTGCGTGGTTAAGATTTTCAAACTCCTTATTGCATTTATTCTCATAAAATATACCTACAAATAAGGAAATGGTTTCAATTATTAGAACAAAAGAAGATACTGAATAATTCACGGATATATAAATATAAAAAAGTTAATTCATATTTCATTTTTTCGAAAAATAGTGGGTGGATTGGAGGTGTTGCAGAAATCAAGTCAGCAAAATTCGTACCCTTTTTCGTTAAATTAAAAAAACAGGCAAAAAGCGCCTCTCTAGGAGTACCCTACTTGCTCCAGTTTTCGTAACTTTGCAACTTCTAAACCAGAGCCACTGAAGTGTCTGATCTCAAACACTTCTGTTGGTTACGATATCTGGTTGATATTTTTCAATATGACCATATGTTACTCAATACTTCACTCCCTACACTCCAAACTGAAATTCTCAATGAAAATTAAAAATCACAACTCCCTTCCATTTCTTGACGTCCTCATCAAAAAATCCAAAAGTTTTTTCACATACCATATCCATACCAATACTAAGCGGTACCTCAAAGCTGAGTCCCATCATCATAATCTCCTGATAATTATTTAAGCATATTTTTCAATTCTTGGTATGATTTATTCTTTCATAAATATAATCTCATCAGTTGATATCAGTTGTTCATTATTAATTCCGACCCAGATCCTTTACTTAATTAGATATCATTCAGCACGTCTACAATGAATGTCAACATCAATTAAATATCAATCTATACTCTTATATTTTCACAAATAATCCACTCTAAATTTCCTATTCCATAATAATCTCCTGATAATTATTTATGCATATTTTTCAATTCTTGGTATGATTTATTCTTTCATAGATATNTGCAAATAGTAGGCTAGGAATATTCAAAGAGGTTTCCAAGTCATTATTGAAAATTAAAAATGAAAGAGGTCCAAGATTAGAACCTTGTGGTACCCCAGATGTAACTACTTACTGGGCCGATTTGCCGTACTGCCATAAAGGACACTTAATGGTTTATATTGTTTCTGGGAATGACTTCCATTTCTCATTGAGACATATGCGATATTGATGAAAATTCTGATTTGTTTCCTTCAGTTTCGTTTACCGGTTATAACATTTCATGAATATAATTTTTTTTCTAATGAAAATTGAATTTGGATATTTTATATTTACTCATTTCCAACAGTAGGTAACAGTGTTAACTCACTTTAGTTAGATTTTCGTCTGGTAGTTGTCTCAAATTTTCACTTAGATATTCCATGATTAGACATCAATGTTATCATTGAAGAATTTGCAGAATTCTATGTTAGACTTCACCAATTTGAATTCACATAGTGAGTGGGAAGACCGCTTTTATGAAAAGTAGGAAACGATATCGCACTTTTGAGATACCTGAGAGGATGTTTCCTTCAGAGTTGATTAATGTTATAATATAAGCCATTGAAACATGAATTTTCTCCTCCTGTTTTCCACCTGGAGGGAAAAATTGGACGATTTAACGCCGCCACTTTTCCTCAATGATGAGGTCGTTCCATTTGGAACGGAGGGGAAATACCTTGGCATTGCCTTGATTATAAACTCACCTGGAACGCTCACTTGGAAAAAGTTTCGAATGTTTCCTTTTGAACTAATTTACCTGTACTATGGTAATTAGTTGAAATAATGAATTTTCGATTTTCGATCTCGGATTGGCCAAGGGGCTACTTAAGTGTCAGAGAGGCATGCGCGTTTATCACTGAACTTTTTCAAAATTGGCGAGAATGCAATTCCTTTTCCCGGTCGAGGTCAAAATTCCTTGTTCTCGAAGATCGTAGCTGGCAGCCATTGGAGCAAATTTTAAAGGGCTCGTTGAATAAAAAGTTTGTGATAACAACTCCGTTGGAGGATTATATTCCTGGGCCCGATATTAGTGGAAATTATGCCCTATATTGAACTTATGACATTATTGGTTGTGGCATTCCACTCTCTTATTGAGGATTAGAAAATTTTCATAGTTCTGAATTCATTCTTGAAATTCCATTGAATTTTTGCCGGAACGATTCCAAATTAGAGAACAAGTAGTTATTCAGTGTTTTTTTTGGGAGATCGAAGGAAAGCAAAAAGGGAAAATTAGTGTCAAATTTGTGTCCTGTCGCCAACCTTGTTGCAGAGGAGAAAAAAAAACCCTTCCAACTCAGAAGGTACGTTGGACTATGAAAAATAAACAATTTCGTTGTTGTGCTGATTCAATTATATAATTTCTTTTGGCTATTATCAGTGACTTCAAAATAACTTCTATATATCTGAGTAGAGACACTAGAAAAATCCGTCAAAAATCCGTCAAATGGCACGTAATGCTTTTGTGGTAGTTATTTTTATGTTTCTTTTTACTTTCAGTCGAAATACTGATTTCGACTCGAAAGAAATTAATTCAAACGAGTTGGCGCTGTATTTTTTTTGGATCTCTGGAATGTTCTCATGGATACTTTTTTTATTGTAATATTGTAGATAGTTTTTTTAATTCTTCTAATTAGGAAGCAAGGAAAACTGAACGTGATACTGAAAATCAAGGAGAATGATATAGGTGGTTTCTTTTTCAAATAGTTTATTAAAGTATTGTTGACACGTTCTGAGAGGAAAAAAATTAAAACAGTCATGTAAATACAGGGTGAATTAGCTTTAAAAAACGTTTAGAAAGAATAGAAACTTTTTTTATATTTCTCAGTTGTGCTAATCGTCTCATAGTTTCTTTTGTCCTTCTATAATAGGATGGTACATACGGGTTGTCCCACCTTCAATTAAACTGATGATGATTTTGTTGTACATATTTTACAATGAAGATAGCTGAAATTAGTTCATTCATGTGCTACCTATAGCTATCCATAAGGGGATTAAATAGTAAAGAATATCGAAACATTGTCCAAGTTTGATGACCGATGATTCTTCTCCTAGGGTTTTTTTTGTACTGAACTTCAACCCAGAGTTTCCAACGTTTCGGTAATCGAAGATCAATCCATATACGGGGTGATCGAATAGTTAGTCTCACCTTCATACAGAACGATTCATGGTCATCGGCACGAAAGGAAGAAGCTACTCGGAGACTTCGATATTATCATTAGTCCACTTACAATTCAAGAACATTTTGCTCACCTACAACCACCGTGGGAATTCACGCAAGTTATTGCTTCTTTCTGTTGATTTATTTTAGTGTTTTCGTTTTTTTATTGTATGGCGGAAATTTAATGAATAATTATTGATTTACGCTATCCTTTGAACTATGAATATGATTTGTTTTGCCTGGTCTAAAGTACATGATCTACTTGCTTGTTTGCTTAGACTTATACCTCATATAGATACAATTGGCTTCAAGTTTGGAATAAATGTTTGAACCGGTACTTGTTGTTTCATATCATTTGGTAAGTTAGTGGTATTGACACATTTAGGGTGTTGGTGAGGCAATTTGCCTGGCGCCCATTTATTTTTTTTTTGAAATCTAAATCTTGAAATATCATCCAAAAACCCCCTCCGTCTTCACTGAGACTGGTCACAAATACCAAAATGTCTATGTGAAGATATGTGCTTCAAATAGTATCTGGTCAAAGAAAATTGGATCAGCAAGAGAAGGCAAAAACAGAAACTGTTAACGGAAGGAACCTATGAAATCTAGAAATCACACGTTAAAAGGTAAGACCTCGTTAGTCCTTAGCTTGCACAAGTTTCGACTTCTGAAGGTTATCGTTCGTAGGGGTGCGACAGCTAGTTGACGGAAAAAACATATATATGTTTTTAACATATATTTTACTTGAAGATATGTATTCATGGGAGATATCTCCCGCTTGCTGAAATAGTTGTTGATTTCGGCTTTCCCACCGTTCTTCCTGGCATTCCGGTGATGCGAGTAGCTGTCATCTTCAGAGGTCTGTGTTTCTACTTTCGAGGAAAAAACCAAGGTGGCGTTATCAGGAGATGAACAAGACTAGTCCAGTCATCTATAATATTTGCGGGATATATTGGTCAATAACTTGTTTCCATCATCGTTTGCAAATGATCATCTTCAAGTCGATAATTCATTTGTGGTCAAATTTCAATCACCTGATGATTCAATCACCTGATATTCTGCTCAAAACTGTGGGTTTTGTATAATCTGGCCCAAGGACAAATAACACAACCAGCGTGTAACGTTAGAAGTTTATTGTATAAACATATACATGAGCATGTATATCGTGAGCATGAACACGTTTGTATGTAGTCATGCCCTGTCAACATAACCTGCGTTAACCACGATTGTCCCGTGTTGTCAACTTGTAGTATCTCATATATATTACAAGTTGCCTAACAGTGACAACTGTTTTAACACATTATATTACAGGTTTTATCCGTAAAAAGTTGTTTATGAGACATCGTGAAAGTGTAACGTTTCCTTCCATTCCAACAATTCTTGAAATCGGACTTGAATCAGAAACATCCTGATGCGGAGACAGAATTGTGATATACTGTTTGGAACCTTTGGTGTAGTAATAAATATTACTGGAGTTTTTTCCCAACACCAAATCGTTATTTTTACACCTCGACACGTGTTTCGATCACCAAGTAATCATCTTCAAGAGGAAGATAAAACTAATAACTACTCAAAACTATAGCTACTTATACTAATCTTTTTTCGTTTTGATTGATTTCGGGTAATTACTTTTGCTAACCACATAGATATTATGTGTCTTTAATAGATTATCAAACTGGCAGGTTGACTATTTCAATATGTTTTATCGCTATATTCACTGTTGACGGTGATGAAATGAGTTGTATGGTCTTTTCAGAGAGAACCTAAAATTATTCAGTAGTCTTACTTTTTAAATAATTATAATAACCTCTCTCACAACACGCAACACAGTAGATCGAAAAATAAATCTTGTTGACCAAAATAAGTCAACTTCATAAGCATAAACATTGTGTGCTCAAGATTCGATGAAGTCGACGATAACCATTTCTGCCTAGTCCTGTTTGGTGAAGGTTCTACCGGTGGAAAATGTTTGGAACATTTTGTCGATTCCTTCACAATAAAACTTTGCTGTGATGTGATGTGATGCCTGGATGATGAAAGTGAATTACAGTAACCGCTGACCACCATCATACCCATTGTCTTTTATTGATGAGTTTCCGCCTTTGAGCAGTATCTGGGTGGCAAGTAAATGTTTTTTTTTCAGTATCAACTCAATATTTCAGTCAACATAACTTATAAAGCGCCATATCTTCACAGCATGGTTAATAAGGATTGTTACCTACTTCTTGTTTATAAAATTGAATTCAAAAAGTTGAATATGTAACATCAACATATTTGTTGATTTGAGTTGAGAAATGACAGGCATAGTTAGAAAGTAAAATTGTCTTCACTGAGACTAGTCACAAATACCCACCTGTCTCGGGTTAAGTTGACAGGTGACTTGTACCCTTGTCATCGATTGGTAAGGTTACATCATGACATGGAAATACCCGAAAAGATTCCAACGAAAAAGGTATTACTGGCGACCATAAAACAACCTAATTTCAATCCAATTGAAATGGTTTGGGCCACAATGAAAGAAAGCTTGCGGAAATGTAATCAGTCACCGACTTGGAGTTTTGTGGTGCTTGACAATATAAGGCGAGTGGTGAATAAAGTAGGTAATAGCAGGGCGTCGCCATGAGGTGGATGGAGTGGGAGCCCCCCTGCTTTTTCGACTTGGGAAAATATTAGGAAAAGTTGGTAAATTTTGGGCCATGAAGATAGAAAAAATAATAGTAGAAAACAATAAGCACAATATTATTTAAGTGTTGTTTCCTTTCATTTGTTTTGAATATTCCTATACATTGGATATTCCTATTACATTCCCATTATTATTTTTATAATTACCAAAATTTATTTTTGTTTGTGCATACCCTAACGGGCATAAGCATTCAACCAATCTTTGGATAGCTAAGTAAGAAAATTATTATATTATAGTAGTAACTAATCCCTCGGCTTTCATTTCTTCGAAAGTTGGAAAATTCTGCTGGTGGAGTTGGGAAAATTTGGATTTCCTCCTCCCCTTGGTTTTTCTTTCCGCTACGGCCCTGGGTAATAGTGATGTGTGAAAGAACTGTGTGACCCACGTTATGAAAGAAGAGACCAAATACTATGTGCAAAGTTTCATATCCGATCGTTATTCAACCCGATGATGATTCCACCTCATCCTAATATAGCGAAGAAGAATTTTGAATTTTTCTAACAATTTTGTTTTCCTCTATTATTTTGTAAATATATGTTTGACGAGAATTCGGTGTGATTATTTGTATTTTCATTGTATTTTAGAGTTTTCGACTCGGAAATCAACTACCTCAAATTACGAAGTTTTTCATAAATACCCATGGTGGAAAAATTCAGTTGAGATAACTTCTGCATGAGGGGATCAATTGCTATGATTATAAGAATAAGTAACTGAAAAACTACCACTGAAAAATAATATGCCGACGCCTATGTCGAGGCGGGAATTCCTTCTCTGCGCTGTTCCAATTGGTATTGGAAATACTATAATGATTCGTGTAGATGCTTATGATAACATCAACATAACTTTCAAGTAGTCGCCCTAGTCATCTCCTGATGATGTTATCTTGGTTAGCGACACACGAGTCAAGAGACATCAATTTTTTTCTGTTGAGGAAATAATTTTTTCAATAAATCAGTCATCGATATTTCACACATCATATGTTCATTCTGTATTATCTTGGTGAATATATGGGATACACCTAGGCATGAATATGCCTGTATTGTGCTAGAGAGGGCTAGAGAAAGAAGGAAGAAGAAGGTTGAAGAATTGATAAACAATAATATAACGGGTCTTTCATTAAGTGCTTCCTATCTTTAAAGTGTGTGTGATATATCATTTAGATTTTGTATTCGTTTGATTTATTTATTGCTGACATTATGTATGGAATATAAATCAGACTGAATTTGACCAATGGCAAGGGTTACGTTGGCTTTGAGGGCCGCTGTGGTTTATGGCTTATTCGCATACACCTGCAACTTAAGAAAATCCCACAAGAAAAAGTCTAACAGGGTCGAATCGCACGATCTCGGAGGCCAGTTCACATCAACTCCATGTTGGGTAACCAAGCCCTCAAATCGCTCGTGCAGAATATCTATGAGCTGCATGGTACGTAGTGCCGTCCTGTTGAAACAACATGTCGTTGGTATCAACATCATCCAATTCAGTCCAAAAGAAGATGGCAATCATCAACCTATTGCGCTCGCCGTTGGCAGTGATGACCTGGCCATCGTCGTTCTCAAAGAAATTTGGACCAATGACGCACCCAGCCCATCAAAATCCACACCAAACAATAACTTTTTAGGGATGCTCTTGGATCTCACGTGAATTGTTATCGTTCCAAATTCGACAATTGCGTTTGTTCACGTACCCATCCATCCAAAAATGGGCCTCAGTACTGAAGATGATTTTTCGATGAAAATTAAGGTCAGTCGCCAACTGCTCCAGAGCTCATTCAGTGAAAGCACGTAGTTGTCTATGGTCCTTCACCTTCAGTTCCTGGGTGAGTTAAATTTCGTACAGGTGCACAGGTCCAAGTCACTATGCAAAATTCGTCAAGTTGTGGTCTGTGGAAGGCCAACTTCTTGTGAGCGACGAGAAATCGACTGTCAGATGGAGATAAGTCCTCTCGATAGGACGATTATGGCGACCGTAAAATCAGCATCGCGCGCGGAACGTTGTCGAACAGAACACCCATTTTGATGAAACAATTTTATTATTCACACGTATTTGTTCATGGTGATTTGGCAAAACTGACTGAATAAATGACAACTAATTTGACAGATGTAGCTTCAACAAGATGGCCGTTATCAATTATCAAAGTTGGAAAATCTTTCAGTAAACATATTTGAGAATGGATTTTCCTGAAAAGTGGAATTTGTACTGTTGAAAGTTCTTTTGATCTAGTTTTATCACTTTCTAGTCTTTGGGTTTTACATATTTTTTTTCACTTCAATTTGGAACTGATGAATCGCTTTTTATTTTTCGTGGGGGACATAATATTAAAAAGTGTTTCACAAATTTTCATTAGGATCGATAAACTGTAGTAATTCGGAACTTTTGGCAACATAATTATGACAGGTCAACTAGATCTTGCAATTCTGTCATTTGTTAATCTATTAAAATCTGTTTTCCCTTAACCAGGTGCTGCCCCCCTACGAAAGACAACTCTCAAAAGTCGGAACTTGTGCGAGCTAAGGACTTACGAAGTCCTAGGGGAGAATAGGGTAATGGGAGTCAGCGGGTAATGGGAGTCACCCTCACATCCACGGAACAATACGAGTGAGCAACGCAAAAATTACATCCCTACCCCCGCTCTGACCCAACAGTGATACCTGGAGCAGCCTGCGCCAGTCAGTGCCCACGCTTGCAGTATGCGAGACTTTTACACGAAATTAGTTAGACATTCGAAATTTTAATGGGCAGTTCAGATTATGTCAGTGTTTTGAAGATTGTTTTTATTATATTTTTTTCGCATTAGTGTAATTGTGGGAAATGAGAGTCAGGTGACTCCCATTACCCGCAAGTGATCACTATTACCCGCAACTTTGCATGTTGAATTACGTCATTTTCACTTCTTTTCAGATGCCGAAAGTACGGGTCAGGACAACTGCAAAGGCTTCCTGGTTTTCTGATAGCCTGGAAAAAGCTATAAAGCTTGTTGAAGGAGGTTCTTCTATGAGAAATGCTGCTAAGTTGATGGGAATCCCCTTTTCAAGCCTCCTAGGACGGTTTACTGTTTTTAGTGCTGAGAGAGAAGGCGAGCTAGCAAACTTGGTGAAGAAAATGGCAAATATTTTTTATGGTTGCACTGCTGAACAAATTATAAAAGTGGCTTTCGAATATGCTGAAAAATTGAATTTGAAGCACAATATTAATCAGTCTTCAAAAATGGCTGGACGCGATTGGTTGCATGCATTTATGACCAGACATAACATTTCTATTAGAAAACCTGAGGCGACCAGCATAAACAGAATAACAGCTTCTAATATAACCGAAATAAGTCTGTTCTTCGAGCACCAGTTCCGAGTACTTCAAAACAAATTTATCCACCGGTTCTTGGGATGTCTAAACGAGTAGGCCCACTTGATTCTGAACCAGATATTATATCACCAGCAGCTGGCACGTCGAATCAAATTAGTGCTAATTTGCATGATTTGATAAAGTCGCCAGATAAAACACAAGAAAAGAAAAGGCCGAAAGAAGCACCACGCTACAATTTCAACTTCAACGCCAATCAAAGGAAAGCTGTTAGAAAAAGAAAATAAGAAAATGAAAAAATCAGGGAATGAAGAAAAAGAAAAGAGATGGAAAGGTAAAGGTCAGGGAAAAAAGACTACAATACAGAAGAGGGGTCCTGAAAATGCAAAGCGCCAAGTACTACAAGAAGCAAATGGAACTTCTGTATCAGATGTTAATACTGGCGCAGAAGATGCTGGAAACAGATGCCTGGTATGCAACGATTTTGGAAAGAATAACGAGATGTGGTTCAGATGCACCTCATGTGGGCTATGGGCTCACGCGAAATGCACTGGGTGTAACTCAGCTAAAGGTTATGTCTGCGATATGTGCTAGGTTTTCTTTAACTCCAAAGTTGATTGCCAGAGTGACTGATAATTATTTCTAATGATAGTTAATTAAGTATATGATGTTTAAAGGCGGTTGCAATGAATAATTTGTTTATGATTACACTTTTATTCGAGTTCTCGCTTAAGTGACCCCCATTACCCTCTATTACTCTACCTTTCAACGTGTGATTCCTTACACCGACGATAAGAAGTGACGATAAGACGATAAGAAGTGACGATAAGAAGTGAAAATCGATTGTCCGGCCTCGCGGTTTGAACCACCGGTTCACACAACGGTGGTTTGAATGAGTGAAGCAAATCAGTCACTTCAACCCACCAGGCTAGCGTCCCACCGATAAATGTGAATAAATCATGTCCAATGAGTAATAAACTGTTATTTTATCAAAGTATTACTTACAGTATTGAAAGTGCTGGCATATATGGGTTGTCTAACTATGCCAGACGAAAACATTTGAATCGCTCCATGGCACAGGTACACCGTGTATGTTAATCTACTCAATATAACTAATGGAGACCAACTCAGTATGGGACCCACCCAGTCTGAAAAATATAAATAATATATTTGAATATCCATGATGAAAGTAGAAAATACTGAATGTTTCTCATATAATCAAATTCAAATGATTAAAATACTTGTTTTCAATAAAACACATTTCTCAGACAAGTTTTGTCATGAAAATAATTATTGTAATAAAACTGTTATTGGTATTTAATTAGCCACAGCTATTTCAGTCGCTTATAAAATTCAGCATCATACCAATAACTATCAACTATACCATTTAGTATATTATATTTCTTTCGAAATTGATCCTGTTTCAATACGATTTTTTTCCGATGATGATGTTTATGAAATGAATGAAACTGTATCATTATCGAATTAAAAATAATACAAATGAATGCGAAAAAATCATAATGAGGTGCTGAATTTTCCATTTGGGATTTGATTTGATTTGATTCCTGTATATATGAACATACCTGCGAGTTGAATTTCATATCAATACTCTTTCATATATTAAGTTGTGTAGCGTTTTCATATAAATTATCTTTTTTTATTCCATTACGATATACGGATATTTGAAGTACAATCCAAATAAAGGTGATTCGTTTCCTTTCAATGTTCATAATTGAAAGTTGTTGTTTCAGAGTAATTCATCCGTCCAGATATCAAAAATAAAATAATAAAAAAAAAATACATTAAACGGTTTCATTGAAAGAAAAGATAATAATGATGCAGATAATGTACTACAAACTAAAAAATAATTCGAAGAGTCCTAGGTCGCAGTCATCACACTACACTCCTCAGCAGTCTACGGTATTGATAGTATTTACATATTTACTCAGGTTACGCTACGCCCAACAATTTCATTATTTTTTTATCTGATCAACACCGTAAATTGCTGGGGAGGGTTGCGTAATGACTGCTACCTAGGACCTTCCGAATTGTTTTTTAGTACACAATCTACATGATCTTTTATTTTCAATAAAACCGTTCAACATATTTTTTTCTACTTATTTTATTTTCAAGTTCATAGTTTTTGATTTTGTTATTCAATTCTTTAAATTTCGTTCAGTTCATTTAGTGCCTCAGTATCACAATCTTGTATGCAATCTTCCACTTTGTAACTGAGGACATCTTGAATTAGCATCTTTCAGAAAATGCATTACTATTCTACTAGTCGAGTCCTGTCATTTGATACCCATATTGAGGTATTTGTGAAAAAATATGTAATCCGCCACTTTTTAGCTGTGGCCATTTTGAATTTGTATTTTTTCGAAGTGTTATCTTAGGTTAGGTCCAAAGTGAGTGTTCCATTCGACCCTTCGCCGCAACCCTCAAGGGTTTAGTGTGGGTCACACCTGGCGCATAAATTAGTCTGAATTTTACCAATGCCATGAGGTATGTTGGCTTTGAGGACCACTGTGGTTTGTGGCTTATTTGCATACACCTGCACCTTAAAGAAAACCAACAAGAAAAGGCCTAACAGGGTCAAATCGCATGATATCGGAAACCAGTTCACATCATTCCACGTGGGATAGGTAAGGTTAAGTTAGGTCCAAATTGAGTGGGTCTATTCGACCCTCCACTGCAACCCGCAAGGGTTTATTGTGGCTCACACCTATTCACACTCAACCAAATAAACCCAGCTTCTCAACGAAGCCGATTAGTTTGTATGGTGAGTGGTCTTTTATGTCAGATGGTAGGAGTACGGCTCTGCCAAATTCTAAAAACCTGATTCAGTCTCCAGCGAGGCAGGCACAAAGTATATGCTCTGCTGTTTCATCGTTAATAAGGTCAAGGTGCAAGATTCCCACCTTGATACCCGGGACAACCTTCCCATATGAGGGTTTTTGCACGTCACCTACACCTGACGATGCCCTATATTCAACCGTGCAGGGCTTTTTCGCCTCTGGTTTTGGTGAATCATCACTTGAGTGCAAACTTTTGCTAACTTGCTCATGGGGGGGGTTGTTCCTCCACCTGAGACAGATTCTGCGTACGCCACTCAAGAATTTGGTGCAAGGCAGTTTTATAAGGTACCCCACTCTTGAGGAGACGACTCAGTCATTTCCTGGCTACACCACCCAACCTTTTTTTGGGTTCAGTTATTAGATCAGGAGGTGGAGAGTTGAGAAGCCCTCGCTTTTGATCTAAATTTACAGGGAGGTCAGTTGGAGTCGTAAGCTCGACATTCATCTCCTCTGTAGACTCAGCGTTAGAAAGAATTTTTAAGTCTACTCTGTCCATGAATTTCGAACTGTACTACCATTCTACTAGTCAAGCCTTGTCATTTAATATCCATATTGTGGTAGTTGTGAATACGCCTTTTTGTAGCTGTGTCCATCTTGCATTTACAATGATCCAAAATTTAATAAATTGAATTGTTATCAAAACTATATGTGTGTACCAATCAGATCAATCTGTTAACAGGGAGGTGGTCAAACTTCAACTACTGAATTTGATCCAAACAAACAAACAAAGAGGGGACAAGCTAAATAAAACCGTTTCAAAAATATGTGCATAATCTAATATATTTGTTAGTAGTTTCATCGATTTATCTTTTTTTTCTTGATAGAAAGTAGAGAACTGGAAAGTATTTTTCCAATGGTAAATTTCCATGGAAATTTGAATTTACGTACTCATAATTGAATTGTTCATAGACCCAAATAGTAGAATCTAATGAATCTCAAATCAACACGCTAAATACAGTGTTATAACAGTACAGTACCTACGGTATCAAAAAAAAATTGTGAAAGATTAAAACGTAGCTTTCGAAAAGATATACAGACTTTATGATAAATTCAAATGTTAATTGAACCAGAATAATTCGTTTTTGAGAATGGACGAATACAAAATATAGTTTCCGAATGAAACAACACTCCCAATATTATCTAGTGCAAATTTGTTATGAGACTTTATTGAATACAACTTACACCCGTAACCAGAAGAAATGGCAATTAACATCCACGCTATGCCCAAACTCCAGCATAAATGATGCATTGAAGCATAGAGTGCTGAAAACCAAGTGGGAACTTGCATAACATAGAAAATGAACGAAATATGAAGCGACAAAAATAATAAAGGGACAGTGGCTATCCATCCAAATCTGACCCATCTCTTTGGTATCTTGTAGTTATCAAGATTCATCCTATACTTCACGTATCCAGCCATAACTCCGACAAAGTAGGACGATGATCTCATATGTCCTGGAATATAAACTCTAAGGAATGTGCTGTCTGTACTTGGAGAAAGTAGAATTCTGTAACAAAATAAATATTTGGCTGGGATCACCTACAAGTGAAATAATACCCACCATAACATTTATCATTTTATTCAAAGAAATAGTGAGTGAGGTAATAATTTCGCAAAATTGTACATCTGTAAGGAGAATGGAAGGAATATGTCAAGTATTCGGGAAGCCACTTAATCAACGATGTATCACGGTGCATATAATTTGAGTACGCCCCACAAAGTATGGAGAACAGACGTTTCGAAAATGAATAACGATGATTTCATTGTTGTACGAGGGTGATCTGTGAAGTTTACGACCTAAAAAAGGTACAAGACATTTTTCCTTTTTTTTTCAACTTTCAACATAGTCTCCTTTCAACTCTACAGACCCCTACCAGCGATGCTGGTAACCTAACCTAACCTAACCCGCTGTAACCCGTCCAAATAGTACTCGGCGTTTTTCTCTGCAAAATAATTGTTCATGAAAGTGATTTCCTCTTCATTTGAAAAAAATCTCTATCCTCCGAGCGCAATTTTAGATCGTCGCTTGGGGCTAGATCTACTGAGTAAGGCGGACGGTCAAGCAGTTCAAACGGTAATTCGTGGATTTTCGAAAACACAGTTTTGTTGATTCTGGACCTGATTCACCTATCGCAGTCCCCTGTTTGAACTATATTTCTGTTTCGGGTGTATGATGGTATATCCAAGTTTCATCTACAGTAATTAATTGGCACCGAAATTCGGATTTATTGCAACCAAACATTTCGTGTCAACATGGCCATTATCAACTTTTTTTTAATATGGTCCTGTCTTTTTCATTACAGATATTGATAAAGCAATTATAGCGTTTCATTTGAAATAACTACCATCATTAGTGACAATAATTTTAAATTACGGTCCTGTCATTACTTCATTGTAAATTTTTTCGATTTCTTCAAAATATAATTCATACAACCCAATGATTTCGACAGGTAGGTAGTCTAACACAATGAAAATTACTACTTTTTCGTTTTGGAAATTTTATTTTTTGTCCACGAAATGAGGATTTCTCTAAAATCCATCAGAACTATTTTGAAAAAGAACAAATATAAATGCTACAGGAAAGGCAAAGCTCATCGACTCAATGAAAGGGATTATGAAAGTAGAGTACGATTTGCAAAGTGGTTGAGAGGTAGAAATAGGCAAGTTGGAAATATTTGTAAAAAAATAATATGAACGGACGAATCAAAATTCACCAACAGAAATATGTGGGAACAAACATCCTTGGCCCTTTTTTTCACAATGACAATTTGAATAGTGAAATGTATCTCCATTTTCAATTCAATGAATTCGATGGCTACTTAGATGAATTGCTACCGAGTATCCTTTAGATTTTTTCGTCTGGGGATACATAAAGGATAAAGTTTTTTCAACACCAAATACAGATGTCGACCATCTCAAACAAAACAAAAATGCATCTATTAGTATTACACCTATTATGCTATAAAATTGGCACAGAAATTGTCTGGACCGACAACTTATATGCATTCAACAATTCGAGCATTTAATGTGGATTGCCATGTAGCTTTCATTTTCCGTATTGGTTTAATTTTTCCCAAAAGTTCATGATGAAATAAATTGTTTTTCTGTTTGATTGTTGTCACTGATGATGGTGGTTATTTCAAATTGAACGCTATAAAAATATCAAATCTAATATACCCTTGGATTGTGAATGTATCGATTTATTAATATCTATAATAAAAAAGACATGTCCATATTTAAAAAAAAAGTTGATGATGGTAATGTTAACACGAAACGTTTTATCGAATACTCATTATTACATCTTCATAGTTCATTTCAAATACAATAACATTTTCTTTTCCATTTTTTGATATCCTCCGAAATAACAATTTTATTCGAAAAAATCGAAAAACAGCATTTTTGGTTTTTCCCGTATAACTCGAGAAGGACGAGAGTTCCGTACATTTTCTTCGATCATTGTATTGTTCCCGATGACAATTACCTTTTTTCTTATTTAATCGTCTTCGTATCTGTTACGGCTTAGAATAGCAATGTTACCACATGATAAAAAAACGAATCATAAGCAATATTTCATTCTTCATTTTGTTTTCTGCTCGATACTTACTTCACATACAGGAGTAAAACAGGAAGTTCATCAAACTGATATACAGTGATGAAAACGGTGATAATTGAAGCAAAGATGAGTACAAAAATGGTTAGGACTCCTGCGATCGATTTCTTGTACAAAATGAGACAAATTATAGGAACTACCAAGAATGCGTTCATGTCGCATGCCATATACCAAGACTGAAACATGCACTGAAAAATAAAATTTCATTAAAGTATCGTGATATAGAGAGGATTAAAATTATTGACAAAATACTTTGGAAAATCACATAGTCTAGAAGTTTCGGGATATTTTTTTCAATCTTTTGTTGTTAGCAAGTAATCGATCAAAATCTATACTTCAAATCGAATATTCACAATTTTATATCAAAAAAATTAATACATTAATAGCTCATTACAAAAATGTAATTGAAAAAAACGTGAGGACCTTTTTGGTCTCAAAGTAAAGGTATCAAAGTTGTAAACAACAAGTTATGAGAAATACAAAAAATACGCGTCAATAATGAAATATTTATATTATTACAGCACACATTGGTTACTGAATTCTGCTATAATCATATGAACACATTTGCTTTACTGTTCAGATTTTCAGTTAGTAGCACAAACTAGCTATGATTTTAAACTTGAAATAAATATTGACACATGACTACTAGGACTGGATATTTCATATTTGTTTGGTAATTTTCTGTTGGATACAATTATTATTCAGAAAAATTCATTCACATATTTCGACATCATTTTTGTTATTTTCAGTTCTATAAGAGATTGTTTCACTCCAGATCAACTCATATATGGAAATAATGTTTTTCATTCTCCGTTAATTTTCAACGTACTCAGATAACATTGTGAAATTTTGACGAAACAGATACTGAAACCATTTTTTCATTTGACGTATTCAAATTGATCTTTGAATACGTTCTTTTTATTTGGCAATTTCTTCTTCGACTAGTGTTCTCAATATTCATGAACTTCTTTAGTTTTTTTGTCATCAGCATATTCCGATTGTATGATTTTTCTGTGAGAAAGCAAAACACAGAAGTATCGAAATGTTGGAAATAACTTTATAGTTTATCCTGCGGCTGTAGAAACTGTTGGTTTATTTAGCCCCTTATTTTGTTAATGAAATTGGCAGAAGGATGACTGAAACTGAAGAAAGAATATGTACCACCTTTGTGATCCAAAAAATTAGTTTAGCTATACAGCGTGGTAATTCAGCTTTTGTTTTTGGCACCATTCCATCATCACATTCACTAGATGAAATTTTTCTTCATCAACTTCCAAAATTTTTTGTGATAGTTTTCATAAGTTTCCACCAGTAGATACAGAGAAATATGAATAACTTCTAGAATCATCTTCTTCTACCAAATTCAAAACGCCAGCTATATCTAATTCAGTTTTGAGCAGATTAGCTTCGAATCCCTTATCACACCGATTCAATGAAAGGGTGAATCATCGTATCCGTGATTACTCAGAAGACGACAGCAGTGGCGAACGTAGTATCAACAGTTACAACACTAGATCAGTGATACATTCTCCAGTCGGAACTCCTGGGTTTGATAGGTTGAAAAATATTGAAAATCCTTTTTCATGAGCAGTGTTATCCAGTGTTTATCAAACACAACATGGTTGCTGGAATATTTAAAAAAGGATACATATATGGAAGATATCAATACTAGTATTTCTAGAATGAAAGGAGCTTCAATCAAAGCCTTCGCAAAAGTTATCAAGGAATTGTGGTCAGAAAATTCATCTGATAGAATAATAAACACTGCCTAATTTGAAAGTCAGATTCAAATATTTGCCCCTCGATTCGTAGGTTCTGCCCATCAGGATGCCCAGGAATTCCTTCGATATCTTTTGAAAGGTTTATAAGGGGACCTCAATGACATTACTGAGAAATCTAAACCTACCTTAACGGAGATTGATGAAAAATTGAGCGACAGCGGAAAAGCACAAGAGTCCTGGCTGAGATATTTGAACATGAACAACTCTGAGATTGTAGACAACTTCATTGCTCAATCACTGCACTATGAAGTGCACACACTGTGGACACTCATCAGTAACCTTCGATACTTTCTGGGATTTGTCTCTTCCCATACCACAAAGAACTGGCCAATTGAGTTTGTCACATTGCTTGGATTCCTTCACAAGAGAGGAAATTCTGGATGGAGATGAAAAACCAACCTGTTCGAGGTGCAAAGAAAGAAGAAAATGCACAAAGTCCCAATCAAACAATAAGTTTCCCAGTTTTTTAGTAATTCATTCAAAAAGATTTCATTCAAGGAAAAGATTCAGAGGTGAATTATATGTTGCCATTGACTTTCCTTTAGAAGAATTATATATGAGCATTTATGCAGCAGACAATGTGGCTCCTTGTCATTATAATCTATATAAACTTTCGAATCACACAGGGACTACTCACAACGGGCATAACACAGCATATTGCAGACACCCTTATAGTGGCACGTGGCATGAATACAACGATTCACACGTGTCCCCAATTTCACAAAAATCGCTTGTGAGTGAGGAGGCATCTGTCCTCTTTTATGAACAGGGGGGAACGAAGCAGCACCTTTGAGGTGTTTTTTTTACAAACTAAATTCTGGTTATTGATTTTTCTGATTCAGGTGCAGGTGTTTTCAGTCGCAGACCCAGGACAGAGTTATCTACCTGCCTGGGAACTTATGGGACTGTATTTCAAGCGAAAATTTATGCTATTGAATTGTGTGCGGAGAGATTGAATAAATCCAACCTCACTCACAAGTCGATAAAAATATTCTCGGACAGTCAAGCAGCGTTGGAAGCTCTTGGCTCCTACCATGCAACGTCTAAATTGGTAGCATTGAACCAGAACCTGTCATTAGCATCGCTTTGGGTTTTGCCAAACAAACACTGAACACCTGGATGGCAAGAAGAGTCATGGACTTCTGGCAGAATCTTCCAGGATTGGCTCACTCCAAGGTGTTTATTCACCCTTCGAAGCTTGATTTCAAACAGTTGTTGGACTACAGTAGGGATGAACTACGATGAACAGATGAACAGGCCTTACAGGTCACTGTTATTTGAATCATCACATGCAGAGACTTGGAATGTCGGAAGACAGTGTGTGTCGCCTCTGTTTGGAAAATTATTAAACTGCAGAGCATATACTTTGTGCCTGCCCCGCTGGGGACCGAATCAGGTTCTTTGAGTTCGGCAGATCTGTACTCTCACCATCTGACCTGAAAGACCACTCACCATACAAACTATTCGGCTTCGTTAAGAAGCTGGGTTTATTTGGCCGAGTGTGAATAGGTGTGAGCCACAATAAACCCTTATGGGTTGCGGTGGAGGGTCGAATAGACCCACTCACTTTCGACCTACCTACCTACCTGGTTATTGATTGATATTTCACGATTTTTCTGCTTTGATCAGTGTAAAAATAAATGTTTGTGTTAAATTCATATTTCACCCTCAATCCTCAATATGTTTTTGATAATATATATCCCAACCTTCTCACTTACATAATTTTTGGTATCATAATAATTATTAATGAACAGAAGATTTGCCCACCAAACTTTTTGACATTTCTGTTGCTCTACGCCAATTCTCTCTTGCCATAAAGGTCCATTTCCTAACTTAACAAATAGCGTACAATAGAACGCCAAAATAACAGCATATGTTGGGGCCATTCTGAAAATTTTAATAAAAAATGTTATTCAAACGATGATGAAAGCATTATTTTTCTTACCTGATGTATCTGTGTATATAAAGATGAAGAATATTAATTTTATGTTTCATTTTATAGTAGTAGTGTAGCGACAGATACGTTGCTAAAAATCCTGATATTGTGAAGAATGAGTCTACTAAAATGGGGCCATTCAGAATGAAAGTAAGCTCAAACCTGGAATAATACTAAAAATTCATTCGATTCAGTTCCTTCGATTTCTCTCATTCAGTATAGGTTACAAAACTTCAAGTATATCAATTAAATGAAAACTAATCGTTTGGTTAATGGATGAACAAGAAATATCCATCCAGCGTGGAATTGAATGAATGAACTTGTGATCTCAAATTACAATGATTCATCATGAATCGCTCAACAATGTCGCCATTTTCATCATATACTCACTTCTTCTATTTCTTCAATATTCAAGACCGCTGCTCCGAAATCGAACATATTCCTGTGCAATAATATTATCAATATCATAGAATATACTTTCATTCCTGCTATACAGCTCAAACCATCAACATTGGTTCCAACTGTGGTCAGTTTTTTCATATTTCTTTGGAAGGAAAAGCAAAGTATTGACTTATGGAGTTGGTCTGAAAATTAATAAATACGATTTTTTCCATTAGTTAATGAAAAATCATTTATATTCATCTATCGAACATCGATCGCACAATTCTCAAACTGATAATCGTGTTACCTGTAAGTGCGCTTTCAAAAGGTTATCCGAGGTTTTTGTGATGAAGAGTAAAATTAAATTGAACGAAATTGAACAAATAATAAGAGTAGTAGTGTATACGTGATACTTCGAAGCTTCGATATAAACTTAAATTTCAGTGGGTTTCTCAGACGATTATCTCTAAACTAATAACAAATTAACGGTATTGTGTTGTGCAACATTTGATGAAGAGAGCAGTCAAAATCTAATTTTAATTTACTTACAAATGAACAATATTGACATTGAGAGTTTAACAAGATCACAAACGAACATCTGACCTAAATAATTTCACCATCACAAAAAGCGGTAGCCAGAATCCACAAATAATTGACGTTAAGGTGCTCACACACGTCTACAGTGATAAAATGAGAAACGATGAAACGGAAATTACTTTGAAGCAATTGTATGATGAAATAGTCAGAAACAGGAGTGAGTTGAAAAACAGTATTGAAGCTAGTGAAGTACGAGTCAGTCTGAAAATTGAATCCCTCAAGAATAAGGTGAAGAGTTAAGAGAAAGAAAATCTAGAACTCAAAAATAAAGTTGAGTCACTAGAGAAAGAGAATAGAAAGAAAAATCTAGTCATTTTTGAGCTCGACAAAAATCCTAAAGAAGTATCAATCGATTTCATATGTAACCAAATCAAACAACTACTTGATGTGAACCTATTACAGTCAGACATTAGCAATATTTATAAATTGGGAAATGATAAAAATTATTCTATCAAACTTGAGTTGGTATCACAAATGAAGAAAAAAGAAATCCTTCAGAATTGCCGCAATCTAAAAGGATCAAAAATATACATTGCCCAGGATCTGACCGGAAATCAAAGGAATGAGAATAAAATTTTGAGAACTTGTCTAAAGCAAGCTAGAGAAAACACCCAAAATCGGTGTTATATCAGAGGAAATAAACTCTTTGTGAATAACATTGCATGTACCATTGAAGACCTGGAATACGAAGAGAACCCACACCCCAAAACTAATAGTGCCCCGTCAACACCAAGTACTCATTCAAATCAAATACCCGAAACAGAAAAGGAAGAACAAAGCCAAATTTCACGAACTCGCCTAAATACAGGAGAAAAGCAAACATCCACAGAGACTGAAAATACTCCAAAAGCAGCTCCTTCAAAAAAGTTACCTGAGCAAACCGTTCCGCCATTAACTAAAGACATATGGGTGATTAGACTTAGATCTAATAAGTGAGTAGAAATAGTTGATATTTTTCTGTTAACACTACCATCTGTGGAGTTACTGTTCCAAATTCTTGAATGTTTTTACTATAATTTGTTCATTGAAATAATCATTCAAATTTTATACCCAAATATTCGTTTTCTTACTCAAGTACCGCATTGAAATGGACCCTTATATTCGTGACTTTGTAGTTGAAAAATTAGAGACATATCCACTCAGTACCGCAGAAGAAACGAGTTTCATTTTGAAAATAATTGAAACAAAAAACGTAAAAATTATTCATTCAAACATTTGCAGCATTGGGTGTCATTTAGATGAATTTCTGATATTTATGAAGACCATAGATTCAATTTTCGACTGCATTGTTTTTTCAGAAACTCGCATTGTTTCGGATATATCTATCTATAATATTGAGGGTTATAAAACATTGTACAATTATGGATACTATAATCAGAATGATGGTGTAGTCGTTTTCATAAAGTCAGAAATATACCTTTCGCATAGTTTGATAGAGTTAAATGGTAGCAATTTATTGAAAATAAATGGGAAATTTGAAGAAAAAGAAATTATTATTAATGCATTTTACAGATCATCAGCCACCAATGCTGAAATTTTTACGAATGAATTAGATGGCATTTTGAACGAAGAAACTGAAAATGTTGACTATAGCCTCATTATTGGTGATGCAAACATTGATCTTCTGACAGATAATCAAGTTTCAAAATATTATCTGGATACTCTAAAAGGCTCCGGGAATCGACGGTTTAAAGGCAGAAACATTAAAACTCATAGCAGACTATATAAAAAAACCAATAAATATTATAATTAATAAATCTCTAGAAACAGGTGAATTTCCCTCTGCCTTCAAGTGTCGGTAGTCACGTCTATTTATAAAAGCGGAGATAAAACTGATATGAGTAGCTATAGACCTATTTCCTTAATTTCAAACCTCGCCAAAATACTAGAAAAAATTTTGAAAACTAGATTGAGCAAATTCATTAACAAATACGGATTACTTTCAACAACACAATACGGGTTTAGGGAGGGAAAAATCTATTCAGGACGCAATTCGGGTCTTAACTGGAGACATATACAATGCATTAGATAAAGGTATTCCATCAATAGCAGTATTTATAGATCTTACGAAGGCTTTCGATACCGTTGACCATTCCATTCTTCTACGAAAACTTGAGGACATAGGTATAAGAGGTTCATCATATGAATTATTGAAGAATTATCTAACAGACTGAGGGCAAATATTAAAATTCAAAGGGAAAACGAGTCGGAAAAAATCCATTACATGTGGAGTACCCCAAGGAACGGTACTGGGACCAATATTATTCACAATAAACCTCAACGACCTACTATGTGTGGAAAAAAGTGGAAAAATCACAAGTTTTGCTGATGATACTGTCCTTTTTTATACAGACAACAACTGGTATGACCTGAAAAATAAAATTCAAACAGACCTCAATAAATTGAAAATGTGGTTCGACTATAACCTCTCATCAATAAATTTCGAAAAGACACACTACCTACCATTTAACTGTCAAGATGCATTTCTTCCTACGTTTGATATTACTCTAACAAAATGTATAATAAAACCGAAAGAAAAAATTAAATATTCAGGCATCATCATAGATTTACATATTCGGTGGGATCAGCATATTAGCTATCTATTGAAGAAATTGCGATGCATTTTATATAGATTCAAGTATGTGACGGAGTCCTTGGACCAAGATCAAAAAATCATTTTGTACAAAAGTCTTGTCGAACCGCACTTGAAATACGGCATTCTCGGATGGGGCGGGGTGTCAAGAACACACCTTGATGCATTGGAAGTATCCCAAAGAAGATTCTTGAAAATCATCCTGAATAAAAGTAGTAGATACTCCAATGATGAAGTATATAAAGAGACAAAAACGTTTGATGTGAGACAAATCTACTTTGAACAGCTGAATATTGAAGTATTCCAAAAAAAATTGACCTCAATCTGGATCATACGTATCTCACCAGAGGAAAAAACAAATTTGTCCAGCCGATAATGAACAAGTCAGTAGGCCAGAAAAGTCATCAATTTTTGGGTCCAAGGGCTTTCAACACTCTTCCTGATGGAATAAAAATTCAACAATCGATATTAAAATTCGAAAGAGAGTTGAAAACATATGTATATCAGAGAAACCGGAGAGCGATCCACCAAATAATTGAAAAAATTGAAAAATAACATCTTACATCAAAATTAGTACACAAATATATAGAATATTTTCTATGTACCCCGGTTTCATTCGTTCTGTTCGACTGTTGATTCTTTTGTAGAAGTTTTAGTTTGGATCTAATTATTGAAGATACACTACAAAAACACACTTTTGTCGACAATAAAGAAATATAGTGTAAAATAGACAAAAGTGTGTTTTTGTAGTGTATCCTCAGTGAACATGAATTTCCACAAAATAAACAAGTCGTCAATCAAAGAAGTGGATCTAATTACACCTTCTCCATCAAAAGACATATGGGTGATTAGACTTAGATCTAATAATTATTAACTCGCATTATATTTTCAATTTGAATTCTATTTGGAAATTATCTTATTTCATTTGGAAATTGGTATATTTTTCATTATTCAGTGATAATGGTTACTGTGCAGTTTTATTGACACGTATAAAGCAGCGCTGACACACATCTTTTCAGCTATCAGAAAACAGATGTCCTAATTGTTATACATTCGCGAGCGTCTCAGCGGCTATTATTTCGATACTGAAAGTACTAACTAATAACTTTTCATCAATAAAATGTGATCTCATTTGAAAAGTATCAACCTTTTGAAATTTCTTGAACATTTCTGACGCCAACTCTACGACTATAAGCCTCACTCTATCAATATTTTAGGACATAGTAGGTCAGATTAGGTTCCAATGTAAGTTGGCAGTTCAAGTATATGTTGAGTGAATCAGTCTAGTACCAATGCCGACGGCATTGCTTAAATGATGAAACTGTTTACAGAGTTCTTCCTTGCAAGGAAGTCAGCAGTTCCGTTACTTCCCAGACTAATGTTGTCAGGAATCCAGGTCAGAGATAATTTGTGGAATTCTCCCATTGAAGCTCACTAACAACTCAGATATTGCTCGGTAAAAGTCAAGAGCTTCTAACACCGCTGCTCAAGAATATTTGCATTGATTTATGTGATAGGTTGGTTTTTGTCAATCTTTCCACACCCAAATCAATTATGTAGATTCCCTCTTGAGATACGATCACATAAGTCTCTAGGCAGGTCGATATCTCTGTTCTAGGTCTACAACTGTATACTTCTACTACAGAATCTGAAAGTGTTTTCACCTTTATATTTTTGACTTCCGGAAGATCCGATCCTCTTTATTTTGAATTAGAAGGTGGCAGTTGATAGTTTTAACTGCTAAGGACATCAAGTGTAAAGCATGAGCCTGTTTTGTGCAATTGGCAATATTCAGAATTCTATATGATTTTCATTCAGCCTTTGTTTCCAGAAAGATGTGAAGAGTAGGTTTAGAAGAATTTCCATGATCGCTGACGGTGTGGTATAATAAGAACCAGATATAGGTACGTATATATGATATTCAAACTCGAAACATATCCAATGGAAATATTATATGTTTGGAAAAAATTATGTTTTTGGAAAGAAATTTTTCTACTTTCCACTCTCCACAGTTAGATGACTACATGTCAGCTCCATTATCACCACTAATTATTATCTTCATCATCACTAGAATATAAATAATAAAAAAATAAATAATAGAACAAAATTTAAATTTTTTTAGTCACTATTTAACCTTTTTTGTGCAATACATAATTTGTCCTTTTGTGTAAACTGGCCCATAGCTGTTTTCTTGGAAATTGTTGACGTATTCAATGATACATTTTCAAAATCACACCTGAATATGAAAGATTTCTAGTGATTGATGAATAAAATTATTGCCACTGATGGAAATAAAGTACTCACTTCCCCAAGTACCATCCATATAATATTGAGATATCACTAAGCTTGTAACTGAAGGATGAACGCAAGTCATTGCAAACAGTACCATAAATAGAATAACACCAGGAGGCCATACATCCTTCGCAACTTCTTTCACTTCTGACCAAGAAAATTTTTTATCTTTCCTTTTTTGATCTTCTACGCTGTCTTCCGAATAATAGGTATATAACTTAATGTATTTCATTCCTAAAGTCAATAAAATTTGTGCCACTACCATAAAAGTTCCCGTTAAAAAATAAATAAGTGCTCCATCTATGTCTGAGTCGGTGACGGATATAGAAATAATCTGAATGAAGTCTGTCAGAATTCCTCCACCTGTTCCCAACAGAAATAGATTCAGGAACTTACTGGGAAACTTCGTCAGTAACACCATCGAAAACATTTGGTAGATGGCAACTGTGGCTGAAAAATTAATAAAATAATTCTAAAATGATTATTTGAATTACATCGGGAGTATTCTGATATGTGAAAGAGACCATTTTCAAACAAATGTAATGCACAGATTTCTAAGTGGGACGTATTTCTCAATGTCATTAGATATTTTTATAACTTTTCCTCAACTGTATCTTGTTTACAATATTGTATACTGAATAATCCCAAAAAGTATAGTACTGGAACTGAAGAAATAACATACCATCTACATTTTCGCCACCTCCCCCTTTTTTGTGAAAGTTTATTCGATTCCTGAACTGAGCAAGTACTTGTGCAAAGGTGGGGTGAAACCATACCAGTGTTATTATTAAACCAACTCAGGTTACACAATCATAACAACCTATATTTTCATTCAAATTGTTCAATCTATAAAACTCCTTGAAAATACGTATACTGAGGTTTTTTTATGGAAACATACTAATCACAGTGGAATTTAAATCATTTACCGGAAACAATTTCTTACCAGACAGACAAAAGACTGTTCAAAATACCGGTATACTGATGAAATGTCCTTATCTATCCATATAATAACACAACATAAAAATCATTCGAATGAGAACTGCTTGTTTCCGTAGTGGAAGCTGGAGGGAAAAAAAACAGTCTTTCCATCAAGACTATCTATAGGTTTCCAACGATGCTAGTGATGACGTCTTGGTGGTCGTTGAGGTCAACAAATATATCCTAGATAATTTAAATACACTCTGTTGGTCCCGAAAGTGTTCAAAATTTCCATGTTTCGGAAGGTTGAAAATTGATTCTTTTCTCAATAAAAATGAAATATTAGTTTGATATTCCCATGAAATTACTCGATTTCAGTTATTCATGAGATACATATGCTGGGGACGTAAAATGTCCAACTTTCCTGCTTTCAAACAAGATTTGATCCATGAAGTCTAAAAACATTTACTTAAAATGTATCATTTCTAATCCTTTGGGTGGAAAATAATAGTGTAGTCACTTGTCATCGTCAAATGAAAATAAGGGTTAGTTTTATATTCTTTCAAGAATCTGTAAACTGAAGATAAATATCGCTCAGAAAATTTTATTCAAAACTCTTTCTAATTTAACATACTTTCAAACCGTTCATTCATGAAAACCAGACTCCATTCCATAATGTTAGAAATGAATTTGTAAACAAACTTCATTTTTATTAGGAAGGGTACAGAAAACATAGCGATAAAATTATGAAGAATTTGAAGGCTCGCCTACCAAAACAGAGTTTTTCAGCTATTTTTTTATGCAAACCCATGAAACGAGGATTGAAATGAAGGCTAGACCACCAAAACTGCGATGAAACGCTTCTTCTAATAGCGATATATCTAACATAAATAAAACTATCTGTAACATCTGAGTGTCATTATTCTTGAATCATGCGTGACCCTCAGGGTCTAGTTGTGCATCATTCTCACAATTCCAAGTCACCGTCCTAACCAAATTGAACCAATGTAATCAAATATTCAAATAGTTTTGTGACTGAATAGGTTTGATTTGATATTATTATGACAGTGACTAGACCTTTACTCTACTGAGACAACTCAAATGGATATGCAAATCAAATAAAACTCACCAATACATTGAACAGGTACAAGAGATTGTAATGAAAAACGAATTTCTACACTTCACTAATTCACATAACCTCACGAAAATAAGACAACAATACTTCAATTCAAACTCCACCTCGAATACCAAACATTCATAACTGATATTCAGAAATATCAATATCCCAATCAAAATTTATTTCAGATTCGAATCAAAACATCATTCTGAATAGTAACAATCTCATTAAAGTCGGAAAGAATACGCGACATACAGATAATGCATTCAGCCTCGTCACTCGGGTGCTGGCTTTGCGGTCTCATGTCAAAGCAACAATGAAATCCTATCTTTGACAATTACGAATTTAGTCAGCTGAGGATATTTCAGAAAGCAATCCTCATGAATACCACTTGACCTGAAAATGTCTTAGCTGAATTTCAATTTTTTAAACTCAAACTTTGTTTTTTTGTGCAATACATAATTTGTCCTTTTGTGTAAACTGGCCCATAGCTGTTTTCTTGGAAATTGTTGACGTATTCAATGATACATTTTCAAAATGTATTATCCAGATTTCGAAGGAAAGAGGAATAGAGGAAAGAAGTTGCAAGTACTTTTATCAAAGGAGCAGTAGAGGCACGTCAGAAGGATTTTCTCATCTTTTTTTTTTTAACCTTTCAATGGAAAGTGAAGTACTGTACTGACCTAGTCATCTGTATAGTAGCAGGTCCTGGATATTATAGCTGGAATAATGATGAAGGGCTGAACATTAGCCTGACGAATTTAAATTCCAACAACAGGATCAAGATATAAGGATAACAACTAATTTGGGCTTTCATATGTATCCAGCCAAATAATTCCCATCAAAAATGGTTTTTGCATTTATTTCTGTTTTTATATTATTGACTACCTAATTCTGTAGTGTTCTCTGACGCACGGATTTCTCTGTTCTATAAAATCGAACATGTGAAACATTTTTCTTATAGTGAGTTATTCTAGACCAATATACTTTCCATCGTAATCCTCACAGTTTATGGGATAATGCCAGGTTTTTTCCTTTTCAGTCGTCTCGTCTTACAGGTTGTCTAACACAACACGAACATACGAGCAGATTTCAAAGCCACTTTTCTGTTGAATTTTTCAAAAATCCGGACAGTAACCTGGTAGATTGACGTAGGTGGTTTACTTCACTCATCAGCCGCTGTGTGAACCGATGGTTCAAACCGCAAGACCGGACGATTGATTTTCACTTCCTATCGTCTACTGCAGTAACGTTAGTTACAAATAAAAGTGGTAAAAAACATAGAAAGTTTCATATCTCTTTTCATTATGTTTTCCTACCACGTAGTAACGACTACATCCATCAATTTATCAGTCTCCTCTCTCCCATATAGGTAGTATGTAGTATTTATGTTGTTTTTTTTTTCGATATTGCCTCTGCCATTGACTTTTCGTAGTAATTATTAATATTTTAAATTATATACATGAATTCTGAAACAGTTTTCTCGAATTCTTCCTCAACTAATGAAATATTGAGTATTTTGAGTTATTTCTTATATATTTTATGAGATTCATTTTACATCATTTGTGTGATTATTATTCACTTGTTGAAAATATATGTAACTCTTATGTACCCATAACTCTCCAATGTGTGATATGGTGATATTAAATTTTAGATACCTACTCCCTGCCATTTGAGAGATGTGAGACTGTTGATAAACACTTCTTTCCATGGTATATTCAATCATGATTTTTATATTACAATTTTTGTTTGTACGAATAACCCCTTGTTCGATATGCCATATTGTGATTAAATGAATGGAATGAAATGACATTCAAAATACTCACCGCTATTCAGTCCTGTCAGTATCATCGCCAAGGCAAAAAATTCCGTCTGCCCTAAAAAGTAGGGAAAATTATTTTTTTCCAAAGTGAAAATTGTGAGTTGGATTATATATTTTTACATTTTTGCTACACACACTAAAAATCAGTCTGACATCTAAAGTTTTCAAGTAAGAGAAAATTCACTGTATATAATGACTAAGAATCGAAAATTTTGATCTAAGAAAATGTATCAACAGTTTTACACAGGAAGTACGACTGCTAGTTATCATCATTTTTGGAAAAAAATGTAGCGGATGACATCGAAAACATTGTACACAGCGTTATTCAGTTGTTTGTGAGGTAAGGAGTTTGAAATGCAGAATCAACATGGAGTTATTTGAATTTGATATTTTTAATTCTGAAATAATGTAAAATTCATACAAGGTCAAACGGAAATCAACCCAAGTCAAGAATTTGAATGGAACAGGGTACATTTTTTTGACCATTCGATTGGTGGCCACTTCTTCTCAAAATGACTGCGAAGGTGTCATTCCTCCCAAATTCAATATGACGGCACTATGACATTATCCATAGACATATTTTGAAGCAAATCCAAGAAGGGATAAATAAAGGACGTATTTGCCCAGTTTTTCGATGGAAATTTAAAAATTTCAATATGTTAGGAATTGAGAATGTAAATAGCTAATAACTCAGAATACTATAGAGTAGTTTGATACTTTCACTTCTTCACTTACAGAAAAAATGAAAAACTCAGTGTCTTCGACATTTTCTTGTAGTGACTTCAAAGTCAAAGCTTGAAGAATATCACTCCCAAATAAGATTTTTTAGATGAATAAATGGCATTTGAGAATCAAGAAAGAGTACGTGGATTGATGAATTATTCAAGTTTTTGAATTTTTATCTAAAAACTGGAAAATTCCGTCGATCCTTTTTCTCTACGTCGAGTTGTTTAACAAAATTTCTTTAGATGACGCCATAGTGCCACCATATCGAATTTGAAGAAAATGAGTCCCACGCTAATATCTTTGATGGAAATGGCTACAAGTGTTATATCATTGAGCGAATGGTCAAAAAAATACAGGATTTTAATAAAAATTCTTGACTTAGGATCATTTCTGGTTGACACTGTATATATTTTCAAGTGGTTTATCATCAAAAATATTGGCTTCGATGAACTATACCTTTATTCCGAATTGCAAATTACATACATCATAACAACTGAATGGGGTCGTCATCCCGTTTAGCGCTTTCTATAGTATTGTGCAAAAGTTAATATCGGCAGTATCACAGTCAGCAATATTATTTGCAGATACATCATCCTGAATTTTTATTGAGTTTTCTATTTTTTCAAAAAAAATATTCCACCAGCAGATGCTGTTTCATTTTCAATAAAACGCAAAATTTCATTTGCCAATGACATTTTGCTTGACAGACTGTCATCGATATATATTTCAGTCGTAGACTGAGGCTGCCTACAAAGAAGCATGTGAAAATTGATGAATTTCCCCATCTGACATTAGAGTACAACAGTGGTATAATCCCTATTTCATACAGTTTAGTGCATGTGTACTGAATTTACAACTGTCTTGTTTGGAAACAAGTACGAAATATCAAATTTTATGTGTTAATCGAAGAAAAAATATTTCAATAGATATGACCAGATCAAAACTAACAGAATATCTATCAATCTTAGTATCTAAAGAATCTTATGATTAAAATGAACAGGCTGGTATTGATTTGATGCATAAAATTGCAAAATGATTTTCAAAAAATAAGCTGTATATAAACTCAGCGGAAACTGATTTTTTTATCTTCCATACAAGACAAAAACAAATTGAAAATATCAACCTGACCTTAAACAACACTAACGTGAACAGTAATACCTCTGTTGAGTTCTTAGGTCTGAATATAAATGATAAACTGAATTGGGAAACCCACATATACCTACTCTAATAAAATATATTAACACCAAAATATTTCAAATACGCTGTATGTATAATTTGGTCCTGAGAGCTCCAGTAATGAAAAACTTCTATTTTGCAGACATTCAGTCGAGACTGGCATACGGAATTATAGTATGAGGACAATCATCTGCTGCTCTACGTCTCTTCATTACACAGAAAAAGTGTATTCGTGTCATGTTTCGCAAACCCCAACAAAAATCTAGTAGACCTCTCTTTATAAAGCTACAAGTATCGCCCCTTATTTCTCTTTACATATTGGCAACTGCTACATTTACATGTTACATTTACAAACATAGAAATACTTTGCTCTGTCATGATGACATTCACGGTCGTTCCACCCGGAATCAGCATTTGCTGAATACTCCTCAAAACAGAGTGAACCTATCCCAAAACGGTCCTCTAAGCATCAGAATTCGAATTATTAATAAAATTCTCCAAAACATCACAGATGAACCTACCAATTTCAGATTCAAGAAGTCACTGAAAAAAGTACTAATTGAGGGTGCGTTCTATACTTTGGAAGAAACTGGAAGAACTGAAATCATTTGTTTCAATAATGTTTGTAATGTGTTTTACTTTATACACTCTAAATGAAATGTTCAATCATCTGTTTTAGCGACTGTTTTAGTGATGTTAGTAATGTGTTTCATATGTATATACATTTTTTATATTTATTCTAATCCAAATTTTTGATATGTCTTATACCACTTGTGGTCTTCAGATTAATACATTTGATTGACTGATTGATTAAAATATTAATGAAGATTTTTTTCCTCGATATTTCGCTAGTTTGACAGAATGAACTATCTACAAACGCAAAGTGCCTTCATTCGAATAATATTTGTTATTGTTTTATAATTTCATGATTTGTATTCATCTGAATTCACTAGTCTAGTGAATCCAATCAATCATTTCGTTGTGCATTGTAAAAAATATGATTTTTCAATATTATGAATGATCCTATTTCATAACGAAACATATTTTGATTATTTGAACATCCCGAAGTTCATATTGTTATTTTCTGTTTCGTTTATTACAATTTCTAATTGATGAAATCTTCATTGGAAATATCATATAATACACTTGAATTCAAGTTAAATGCTCTACTTACATGAGTCTGTGTCAATTTGAGTGAACAATGAAAGAATCACGAAAATCGAAAGGATGACAGTCAACGCGGACAAAATACATTTTTGTGGGTTAAGCCTTCCCGCATAAATTGAACCTACGATAGTGAATATTACAGATGGTATTGAAGAGGCAATTCTTGATGATGACTCGTAAAGAGATTGCAATGACGTTCTGCTTGGGTCATGTGCTGGTGCAGTTGTATTCCTGAACTTAAACATCCAATACTGAAAATAACAAAGAACTGATTAGGTATATCAAGTGTAATATCGTTTCAAAAAATTGTTTTGAATACCATCCAGTTATCCTTCCAGGAACAACTGATTGAAAGGGCAGGGTGAAAATGATTGTAAATCAGCACAAGACAAATTAAAAAGGTCTGGGGTCTACAAGCTCTAGTGCGACGATTGCAATGTGTTATATATAGGACATTCGGGCTGCAGTTTCAACCAGAGATTCGAAAATTTTGTTTGTTTCATGTCGTTTCGTGTTGGTTATATTTCGGAAATTTGTATAATGTTTCTTCTAGACGCGACTCGCAACACCGTAGCTTCATCCATAGTAATAGTACACACACTGGTCTACAATTCTTATATACAACAGTAGTAGTTACTCACTTGATTGGTTGATGGTAAATGAGATAACAGGTATAATCCGAAAAACTATTATAATCTCAGTTCTTGGACAGCAGGTAAAATCTCTCACAATTCTCACAATTGAGTTCAGGTGTTGTTAATTCACATGATTTCATATGGAAGGTTAAGTATGTGAAGATATTGTATACATTCAAGAAACACTTCATTGTGAGATTTTCATTAAACAGTTTCATAAAAACGCAACACGTGTTTCATTAAACACTAGCTTCTTCGGGCGTGTCAACGGTCTCAGTAGAGAAATAATCGATGACATGGCAGTGAGAAACCCAGTCTCCTCCTTCATAGCTAATTTGTTCATGAGCCGATTTGTATTGAAAGCAAATGTTGATTTGAATTACTTTCTACGGACTTGGATCCAATATGTATGATACAAAGAAATCAAAGGTAGAGGATAGAAATCCAAATATTGGGTTGACATATGGAATTGAAAAAAACGAGGAGTTATCATTGTTGGATGTCTTATTGATCAGAAGTAACTTGGGTCTGAAATTTCATGTCCACTGGAAGAATACAAGATATATTCCTAATACCTCACACCATTAGTCACAACACAAAATGGTAGATCATAACTTTCTTGTCCATAGGCTTGTTATGTTCTCCTTGAGAAAATAAAAGTACTATATTCAGAAAAGTTTCAGAAAATCTCGTAAATGTGATCCCAGTTAGAAAGTTACACTATATTGGCAACTGATAGTGAAGACATGTATTAATCAACTGGTAGTTGTGCAAAGATAGTAATTGCAATCGCATTTTCAAATATATTTCATTCGTTGAGAGTCATTTCATGATTTGATTTTTCATAATTTCTAGTTTCTAACTACACCAGATATTGTTGGATATGAAATGTCCACCGAAGTACTATTCACCAATCCGTTTAATACCCGTGCCCAGTGATTGATTCATTGAGGATAGAAAAATGAATCACCTCGATGCCGTTTCATACAGGGTGGCGAAATAAAAACATAGCTTCTCCATCAGTAACTGCGTCAGTATGAAAAAAAATTGGGAACCGTCGATTTTTGACAGTGATAAAAAAGGCCATTGAATAATATGTTGTTCTCCCACTCCGGATCCATGGAAAATGTTGGCCTGAACAATGTCGACCAATTCAGGAACTTCACACCGAGTTTTTTCAGAATAATGATATTATTTCTATCTCGTTCTAGCGTGATCACCCTAGACAGTATCGCAAGTGAGGTGATGGAAATCATACCAATGAAACATGTCAAGTGATAATTTTTTCACTAGTCGGTTACGACGTCTGTAGAGACGATATTTCACATGATACAATGATGATATTTGTACTTACATTAAATGCTGTTCCGATGAACACCAATGGCATCATTGTCATGAATCCCAAGATGAAGAAGTAAAAGCTACATAAATAAAAAGTATCCTTTAGAGAAAATGTCAACAAACGATGCAATTGCCTACTCATCCATAAGGTACAGTCTCAGGATCAATCTCCTTTTCAATTCATATAAATGATTTATTAGTGTCAAAACTGTCAACAAAAAATATTTTCAGCTACGCCGATGACACTGCTATCCTGTATACAGATTACACATGGGATATATCGAAAAACAAAGTAGAAACGTCTCTGAAAATGATTTCCATATCCGTTCCTACTTTGTTTTTGAAGTTCAGTCAAAAAATATCAACTGCCAATTCTGAAGAAGAAAAATTTCACTCATTCGCCAATAACAATAGCACACTGCCTAATTGTGCTACTTTGAACATAACAGAAATAATACTGGTTAACGGAAAAACATATTTCAAATAGATTTCAAATACAATACATTCTAGAAACGATATGAAATAATTAGGAGTATTAATAGATAAACACCTACACTGGGATCTTCACATAACTAATACCTATGACAAAAACATCAAGATGCTCATTATATAGATAATTGAAAAACATACTCGACATTACTTATCTGAAAATGATATAACACGAAATACAACTTTCGGATGTCAAAGTACATTTTAAAAAATTTAATTTCATTAACAAAAATGGGTGTTAACAGTGTGAGAGCAAAATTAAGACTGAATTATGAAAGTATTCTTCCCATGAAGATGAGATTGCTTGCACATCAGTTTCCCAGAATCGCGAGATTCTGCTATAGCATGGTCAGCGGTTCATATGGAAACGGGCGATATAATTCCTCCCCCGTAGGAGGGTCAGCGAGGAAGTTGAACCCTAGACATCTCCATGTCATGATTTGGTTCGGATGGTCCTTTGGTTTTGCATCCTCTGAGGCCAATCTTCTTGTGCACTCGGTACAAACAAATTGATACTAGGACCAGGTAGATAAACATCATCCAAAAACTTGGATCTTTGAAGGATATAATCGGTTCGTTTTCCATTATTGCTGTTTTTATTGAATGAAGTTCGTCCGGGTTCAGGTCATAAAGTTGGATCCCTAATGATTAGGGGGCTCTGGCTTCGCTTCATCCAAGTCTGGTAAGATGACTGGTTCACTATTGATAACTTGGTAATCGTTGGTTATGATTTGGTTGCCACAGGATAACTGGCAGCCAGTTGGAATGTCGGAAAGATAACTTCCAGATAGTAAGTTCTCGATTTCGTTCTGGTTCTGGCACTTGCGTTTGGTAGTTTGTTGAGCCGGTAGGAGGACAACCCATTTGTTTGAGTTGTCTAGTTGTCTGATGACTGGTCTCGATAAATTTATGATTGTCACCTTAGAAGTGGAGGTATTCTGGACATTGAGTAGCTGGATTTCGCATGGATTGTCTTCTGTCAGCTCTCTGATGTTAGTGGACGGGTAGATATAGGTTCGATGGGAGTTCTCCAAACACGAATCGCTCAAGAATGCATACAATTTTTCGATTTTTGACAAATATTTGTTTTGAGGTATAACAGCCTTAAACTGACCCTTAGTTAATATCGAAATAGAAAATATATGATAGTAATCGAAATTTGAGGAATGGGTAATTGGAATATGCAAGATATAGGTTATTCTGAAATTTGATTTGTAGCTTTTAAGGCTTATGATTTTTTCATAAAGCAAAGTATTCTCGAAACTCATTTCCATTGGTAGTTGGTCTTTCTCAATAATTTTATTCAATTCTTGTAGTTCTTTGAACAAATCATTTGTTTTTATTATACTAGGATGAAGAATGTTCAGTCTGGAAAATTGTATTGAGTTTTCAACATGTCGCAAAATTGAAATTATTGATTATCTCATTCACGATGTCTTTGGTGAACATAGAGTTTTCTTTATACGTTTGATTTTCAACAATTTTTGCAATTTTATTTATTTTCAATTCCAAAAGCCTTTCATTATATGATCGACTGTTTTGATTTGAGTCGGTTTTTGAAATTTATTTGCATCCTCTTGCCTAATATGTTTTTCCCGTTAACTTTTTGTTTGGTTTTGAGTACAATGGGATCATCGCGTTTTTTATTTTCTTGTTTTACTATCTTTTCGTTTCGCTTTATAAGATCCGAGTGTAATCATTTAATAATTTTCGATCAATTTCAATATTGAAAGGATAATTGGTTGAAATGTGACCACTTATGATGTCAATTGGCTTGAATTTTGTGACTGAATGTATATGTAGAGTGGTTGTATGCCAAAATTGCATACAACATTTTCATTTTTGGAGGGGTTTTCAAAAATTATCTCGTGCTGAATGTGTTCTAGATTGGTAGAATGGAACCATTCTATCATTCCATTGGATTGCGGATGGTGTGGTGAAATGAAATGAACTTCGACTTTGTGTGGAGCCAGGAGTTACGAAATGAGAAAGTTATTGAATTCAGTACCGTTATCAACGACAATTCGTTTAGGGATACTATGATGAGAAAAAAATTGAATGAGATTGTCGGCTATTTCCATACCTGTCGAGGAGTTGACTAGATATCCTTTGAAAAACTGTCTATGATTGTGAGAAATTTTGTGCTTTCGATAGTGAATGTATCCATTTGTACGATTTCGAAAGTTTTGTTGCTGTAGGAGTGATGTTGAGCTTCATTTTGATGGGGTTTCGCTCATATTGGCTTTGTTGGCAAGTAAGACATTGATTATTGTATGTTTGAATGGTTTCTTTTATGTTCGGCCAGTAATGTTTTCCTCAATTCTTGCGAAAATTCCGTCAACACTGCAGTGGTTGGACTTACCTTCATGGTGGTTTTGGATAATTTCTCAAATGTCTTCTTTTTTTGTAACGTCCAGAAGCTTTTTGGTACATTTTCTGAATTTCATAGAGGGCCACTTGAAATATTTTTGAATTGTTGCCAAAAATAGTTCATAAAGTTCGAGGTTTGCAAAGTAGACATGGCACTGCACTCCTGGGGCGACATATTCTTTGATAAAATTCAAAATATCGTTATGTATTATTTTGGGATATTTCTACATGAATTCTCATCTTTTTCTCGAATAGTATGGTAGTTTTGGGTTTGGCCGGAGAATGGAGAACTAAGCTCATAATCAACTGATTGAGCCCTAGGTTCACGGCACACTGCGCTATTGGAATTGTTACAACAGGGTTCTGTTCAGCATTTGAGTGAATGGTGTCATCTTCAAGGTTTTCGCGTTCTGGTA